GAGAGAGAGGGAGGGGAGGGGAGGGGAGGAGGAGGGGGGAGGGGGCGAAGCTAATCTCCAAGCAGATTCGATGGGGCAAGGGGACATTCTGTTAGCTGCTCGTGGGGCGAACGTTGGATACAGGCGGCCAATGGATACAGGCGGCTAACATAAAGTCCCCTTGCCCCACCGAATCTGCTTGGAGATTAGGGCGAAGCTACAAAAAGATAGGACGTATCTTGCGAAAGTATTAGTGTTCGTCTTTTTTTTCTTTGTCTATTCAGTCGGACGGTTTGCTAACAACACTTATCATTTACTTCTAAGCCACCTTCCTGACTAAAACTATGTGTGGATGTGAATTTTTAAAATAGTGCGGAGATACCCTAAAAGTAATGAAGCAGACACATTCGTCGCACAATAGTCGTACGATCGCAAACTTGCACTAAAAGCATTTGGGGCATATATAGTCGTAAACGTGTCGCACAAAAATGAACTGTCTTCTTACGATAAAAGTTGTCTTTTGCCGGCGATCGGTTCTGCCATATACTGGTACAGCCTGCTTAAAAATTCTATGACATTAAAATTGCACGACTACCTTCAACGAATGTGACTGCGCCGCAAGTTAGAAAATTAGAAACCCTTTCATGGATGATATGCAAGATATATGTAACACCAGTGCTCTTTTCTTACAGTGAGAGGTAAGAAAGCAGGCCCCATATCAGACGAGAGGTTCCAGTGGAACGAGTACTCGACGCGGCTGGAGAAATTCCGCGACAGGCGCGACCACTGGTGGCAGGACGAGCCGGGGGACGGCTACAGTACCGGCGTCATTACCGCTACATTCAGTCGCGAAAGCGGCGTTGGCTCCAGCGTTGGGACCCCTGATAGCGTTGGGACTTCCAACGGTGTAGAAGCTAGCGTTGGGACGTCTGACGATGGGGCTTCTAGTGGTATAGGCTCAATGCATTGAGTCGTGAAAGCGGCGTTGCGGCTCCAGCGTTGGGACCCCTGATAGCGTTGGGACTTCCAACGGTGTAGAAGCTAGCGTTGGGACGCCTGACGGTTTAGAAGCTAGAGTTGGGGCTTCTAGTGGTATAGGCTCAAGCTAGTGAGCGTCAACACCAATGCACTGAGTCGCGAAAGCGGCGTTGGCTCTAACGCTGGGACACCTGACCATGCTAGCGTTGGGACTTCCAACGGTGTAGAAGCTAGCGTTGGGACGTCTGACGGGATAGAAGCTAGAGTTGGGGCTTCTAGTGGCATAGGCTCAAGCTAGTGTTAGCGGATTCAGCACCAATGCCTTGAGTCACGAAAGCGGCGTTGGCTCGAACGTTGGGACCCCTGATGACCACGCTAGCGTTGGGACTTCCAACGGTGTAGAAGCTAGCGTTGGGACGCCTGACGGTGTAGAAACTCAGAGCGTCGGGGCTTCTAGTGGTATAGCCTCCGGCTAGTGTTAGCGTCAACACCAGTGCCTTGAGTCGCGAAAGCGGCGTTGGCTCCAGCGTTGTGACCCCTGATGACCACGCTAGCGTTGGGACTTCCAACGGTGTAGAAGCTAGCGATGGGGCTTCTAGTGGTATAGCCTCCGGCTAGTGTTAGCGTCAACACCAGTGCCTTGATTCACGAAAGCGGCGTTGGCTCCAGCGTTGTGACCCCTGATGACCACGCTAGCGTTGGGACTTCCAACGGTGTAGAAGCTAGCGTTGGCACCTCTGACGGTGTAGAAACTCAGAGCGTCGGGACTTCTAGTAGTATAACGTCAAGCTAGCTTTAGTGTCGGCATCAATGCATTGAGTAGCTACAGCGCCGTTTGCTCCAGAGTTGAAAGCTCTAACCGTGTTTAATTAAGATAATGGTATGGGAACTAGCGTTGGGGCGTCTAGTTGGCATAGGTGTACCATTTTATGACTTTAGTGGTCAAACCCTGTCTACTCTTTTTTTACTTCATAGCAGACATATTAGCGTTCTTGAATGGTATCGTAATACGTATACGTATTGCCCATATTTCTTTAATAAAAAGTCACGTTTTGTAAACTGTGTTCTCTTATCTTTTCCCGTATGTTTGTGTGTGCGGTGTGTGTGTGTGTGTGTGTGTGCGTGTGTGTGTGTGTGTGTGCGTGTGTGTATGTGCTTGCGTGTGTGTGTGTGTGTGTGTGCGTGTGTGTGTGTGCGTGTGTGTGTGTGTGAGTGTGTGCGTGTGTGTGTGTGTGTGTGCGTGTGTGTATGTGCTTGCGTGTGTGTGTGCTTATGCACCACTTGATCATGAAATCGTCTATAGTATATACCTCTTAAACTTTGGGTACTGCTTGCTCAAAGATAAATATGTCAGGCAAAGTGTTTAAAACAGACAATGCGACAAAAAAGAAGAGAAAGATTATTGATCTGGCAGTCATGTACTCTGTATTCAGATGTAGTAAGTCAAGTCCAAATCACGACACGCAAGTTAAAATGGTACAAGTAATAAACTGTGACAGATTGAAATCAGATTGATGTCTAAGTTCAACCATTTGGATATGATGAGAGCGTCGATCACAATGTTTCATGTCACTCGTGTACATGATTACAATATGCCGTTGGGACTTCAGAGTACAACTGCCAGGTGGCGCTGTTTTCAGTTAGCTCCTTGAAGCACCAGGTAGGCGTTCTCCTCATCTCTGTTCTCTTCCTCCTCCTCATTTTCTGGATCTTCACCCTGGTTCAGGTACATTCTGTGTAAACAACATCGAAAACAAATTGAGGATCACACAAAATTACTCGCAAATGACTGTCGGTCTACACATTTGATGAAGAGGGACACAAAACTACATTCTATGTACCTCCGTGTGCGGAGGTATTGTTTTGGGTGGGGGTACTACCTCACCGCAGAACACAAAAGGTCAGACAGGGGAAATGGGGTCCCAGAAGCTGGGAGTTATCACTTCGCAAGGTGGCAGAAGGGAAATCCATAGTGACGTAAACAGAGACCGCCACAACGGGTAAAACAAGGAATTCACAAAAAATATAATAATAAACATTTATGGATATAATATCTATATCCAATGATACTGTCCAATATCTTGTTTATTTGAGTGTATACTTACTCCGTTTTTGGTTGGTTGATCTGTGAGGGAGTCAGGTACACACAGTCCTCGGCGCTCTTACCAGCCTGGGCGAGGTACCTATGGACAGTTAGGAAAACAAAAGAGAATGGCTATTAGCAGTTCGACCAATGTGAGAGTGACTGCGCAGCTCTATGTCCGTCACATATTTACAAGCATTTCTATACGTTTTGCAGGGAAATGGGGAAAGGGATGGGAACGTTCTCTAAGCTGAGGTCTAGGCTCAGGTCTAGAAACTGAGTAAAAACAATATGTTTTCCTTTGGTAAACATTAAAAAAGTACCAGTACAAAAAAGAGAGCCAGATGAAAACGCCTAAAACTGATACGCCAAAAAATAAGCCGAAGCCCAAACCTGTGCTTGGAGAGTAGGAAGGGGGCACTTTTGTATCACTCACGTTTTCCCGTCAACCTTGACTTCGCTGAGAGTCAGGTACACGTGCTCTCCGGACGGCAGCTTCGCAGGAAGGGTGGAGGCTGGGCGTCTGTCGGGGAACATATCTCTTTTATTCCAACATTTATCACAAGACATGGTGACGGTACAAGTTTTTTCAACTCCTTTTCATATGCCGCCACCAACGTAGGGGGCCAAATGCATGAACGTAGTCATTTTCACAAGTGAAACATCGGTACTAGAATCCATTAAAAGAAGACCAGAGGAACAATAAAGGTCGCCTGGACAAACATGTATAAGGCCACAGCAAGTAATATTTATGGCTGACATCAGCGCGCGCATTAATTTTCGCCTGATTTGGGAAAAAAACAAAACAAAAAATTTTGTTGCCTTCTCACAGTGGTCAACATGCCGAAAATGGGCAAAGATGTCTGTTGACATGTCGGAAGATGGATGGCAGATAACTATGAAGAAAGGAGATAAGAAAAGGCTCTGATTTCATGTGTTTTTTTTTTGCCCGCTCGCATTAGATTTGGAGTCTGCGGAGGATGCCATCAATAAAATTTACTTCCTGTGGCCTAGACTAAACCCACGGGCACTATATAATGTCCCTGACTGAAACATTTTATCAGAGCAGACATAGACAAAAATGTCGGATATGCTAAAAGGTGCGTAAAGAAAAGACAGTCTTACGGAGCTGCGGGAGGAGGGCGGTCTGGCATGGAGCTATTCTTCTTCAGGTTGGCCTGGATGAAAGCCTCCCTCTCACTCTCATAACTAAGTAAGATACACAAACGATTAGCTAACTGCGTCAATCTGCATTTCATGAAGGAACCACTAGATGGCATGCCTCTGCCGTTTAAAAGCCAAACAATAAGCTTTTAGAGTGTCATATATAGCATTCTACATTCACGGTATAATTCGGGAGCCTAAAAATGTAGAAGGATGGTTGCGACGAACTCAAAGGCTTTTCTTAACTTCAAAGAAAAAGTGAACTCATAGTAATGCTTCTACGGTGTGGGAACATTTGTCGTAAGCTGTTGTACAATTTTGACGCCACCGTGTTTTCAAGCAAGGTGTGACAAATTAAAACTGTGCCGACAAGGGCCCTAGGTAGATTTACCGTAGCAAGACAGCTAAAGTTTTCACGACACACACACGACTATTACAAGAATGAAGTTTAAGATCGTACGACGATCACGACCAAATGCGACCGGGTCCTTTTTTTTTACAATTCAACTTGGACATTACAAGACATATACAAGGTGGTTAGGTAACCTATAGCTAATTTTAAACTCACCACCAAACATACAAGTATACAATGACAAAATACATGACAAAAACAACAGAAAATGAAAATGGATCAATAAATGGTGAGGAAGAAAATATTTTGTAGGCTATGTAGGAGTTAATCTAATACAAACCGTTTAATATCAATAACGTAAGTTTGGGTGATTGTCAAAATGTTACAGTTTGTATCTGGGTGTAAATCGGGTGATCCTCTGAGTAAAATGTTACAATTCCCGGGTCCTTACCGGGAGATCCTGTACTTCTGTATCTTGGGCAGCAAGAGAAAGGTGGCCAGCATCGTCACCAGTAGGACAGCCAGCACAGAGACAGCAACTGTCCCCGCAACATAGCCTGGGAACGAGAGTTCCATTCATGTGCACAAGAACGCAGTACAGTCCTATAGTATACGTGTAGTACTAACTGCTATAAAACCGATGACCCTAAACTTATAAGTGATAACAATACTTTTTCTAGCTGTATCTCTGTTCTTCACAGGCTATATTTCTCAACATCTGCTTGAAAAGAAAACCCATACCTACAAAAGCAAACGAAATTAATTGAATGAAAGACCTTTATTGTACATTTTTGCTCATTGCGAACTAAGTACAGGTCATGGTAAATAGCGATGGTAGACTAAAATATATCTATAGTAAAACTACATATGTACAGGTTCTGCTTCTTCTCGCTTCTTAAGACAGTTGTAAATGTATTATAAAGAACAGACGGAGTTCATAGTACGAGGATTATCGAGTTTCATGAGGAATGTGAATTTTTCTTTTCTATCTAAAAATCTAAAACTAGGGAAATAATCTTGTATACAATTGAAGAGAATCTTTCATTATTATATAGACTACAGTCCACAATAAAATGACTCTCGTCTTCAATCTCATTTAGGTTACAATAATGACAAATTCTTTGTTGCAGAGGAATATGGTTCTGTCTACCCTTTTCAACAAGAGGTTTATGACCTGTTCCACAAGTCCGTCAAGATAGGGGTGTTTTCTAAAATATTACATTGCTTATACGAACTGCTACGGTTAAAAAAAAGCAACGTGCATCAACAAACAAACAAATAAACAAACAAATAAACAAACATCTCACCTCTCGGGTTCTCGCACTCGTCCTTGAGCGGGCAGGGCTCGGCGGCGGTCTGTTGCTCACACAGCCCCTGTACCCTGCAGGCGCGCGTCCTGGTCCTGTACCCGGTCCCGCACTGCCCGTGACACCGGCTCCATCCAGACCACTCCGCCCAGATCGGGTTCTCCAGCAGGTGCAGCATCAGCTTCGCCTCCGCGATTTCATCATTCACCCTCGCCGTGTCAGCTTGATACTCCCTGGCCGGACCCTCTATGACGCCTTGGTGGTCTCTCCTTCTTGCCTTCTGCCACAAATGCGGCGCCACTACGACTCCGTCGGACGCGTGCTGAACTTCGTCGGCCCTTTCCGAGCCTTCCCGATGGTCACCGAGGGCAGCCGACGACGGCTCACGAACGTCGTAGTCGCGTTGCTCGCCGACAGAGGCTTTTTTCAGCAGCTCTTCGGATTTATCCAGGCTCTGGCGGATCTTGGTGGCGAGATTTTCGGCCTCATCCTCACGCCCTGCCTCCGAGACTAACTTCTCCTCCATGTCGTTCCGTGCTGCTGTGGCGTGACTCTTGTCGGCAGCAGCGCGGCGTTCGATTGCCTCCCGAACTTTCGCGATCGCTTGGCGAATCTGAGCCAAGTGCTCGGGATGACCGTTAGACCAAGCCATTTCTTCTTGGATCTGCGATATCAGATCCTCAACATTTTCCTCGCCGTTCAACGAGCTTGGGAAAGAGTCGTACGAGTGGTAGTTGTCGTACACGCCCTCGTCTGTGACGTCCGTCTCGCCCAGGGGGAAGTTGTCCTCGAGGACGGGGTGACCTTGAGAACTTGGGCGGGAAAACGTCGAAGCTCGTTGGGCAAGTGGAGTGTTTCCGCCGGCATGGGGAGGGGCAACCTGATTTTCTGCACATCCTGGGAATAAAAAGAGATAGCATCGCTGTAAGTTTAACTTTTTATGCTTTTGCTGTCCACGTACACACGACCAGTTCGTCTGTATCTTGGTATTACTCTGTGTAGTGTTACTTTCCAGTGTGGATTTGCATTTTTATTTATTTCAATTGGAGGGGGCAGACGTCAAACTTATGCACGTAAAAGAACCCAACACACATCAAAAGAGTAGGCTAGGAGTGTTTCGCTTGGAAATATGAGCCGTAGCGAAGCCACATGTCATTCCTTCATGCTTCGCCTCAAGCGGCCATAGCATAACAAGCTGACGGTGGCTAACTACTAGTAAATAGCGCTCCTAGCGACCCGTCCGACTAACGCAGGCTGGAAGCGACCACATCAGAACGTGATGAACTGTATTCTTACCTTGCAGGTTCAGAAGGACCACTCCCAGTAACCAGACCCACGCAGCGGACCGCATGTTTAGACGGTTCCTGTGTGATGACCTCTGTTTTTGTGAACGACGCTCCGTACCGAATGTGCCGTGTTCGAACGTCACCACGGTGACCAACAATTCTGTTCTACCACAGTGTTCTAGAACAGTCGTTCGACACCGACTTCATTTTATGGATGACATCCATAGCCTGGGTACCATCCGGATTTTCGCTACGCAACGCTCGTGATTTTTTTCGAGCGTTGCGTAGCGAAAATCCGGAGGGTACCCAGGCTAGGCATCCACGCACCCATTGATTTTCGCCTGTTCTTTATAAAAAAAAGAAGAAAGGTCCCGTCCACCGAGGCTCTGGCCTGGCTCTAGGCCTGGGTGGTCCATGGTAGTTAGCGACGATACGGAGTCGGGCACCCAGGCTACCGAAGCTCCGCGACTCAAGAACTCAGTACATACGTACAGTGCCGATTCATAAATTCCAAAAAGCCAGCATGTGCCGGCATGCCATATAAGTCGCTAAGTACTGCCGCAAATTCACAATACCAGCTTTGTATCCTGTGGTTTAGTAGCATTTTTATTTTTGGCCGGAATTTTTTTTTATTTGCCTGCGCGCACTAGTTTGGAGGTCTTCAGAAGATGTCATCCATAAAATTAATTCGGTGTGGCCTTATAGCCCCAAATGGCAGTAGACAGAACGCCACCACTCACTTGTCAGTTGAGTGCGCTGTTGAGTGTCGTTGAACTTTGGACTCAAGTGTATTAAGTTGCGGTTCACATTCTTTAGTTGGTTGACAAACATGAAATACGAGTACAGTATATAGTAGAGATTCTTCTGAACTTGTGTTACCTACCTCTAACATGAAGTCAATGTTCTTAAAGCGATATTATGTAAGATTTTAACTGTTTGAAACATTGTTGTTTTACACATTTTCTTGCGCTACAAGCCTACCAGGGTTAACGTTCATAATGACATTTGGGGAGTAAAAGATCAACGTCTTTACGCCGCAAAAACGTGTTGGAAAACTGCCAGCTCCTAGGCATCGGCACAGATCGCAGCCATGTTGTTTGTTTACATTCTTTTTAGGAGCCTCCTAAAATACAGCGGGCCTGGCGCAACTTATTCTCGCGCTGCGCTGAGTCGCCAGAAAAGCGAAATAGCAACGCTAATATGATGAAAGTGACAATCTAGATGAGAAAATTTTAATTATCTATATTTCCAGTTTTGGCGCAAAAATCTTACATGATATCGCTTTAAAACTGTGTGTGTAACACGTTATGGCTGTGTGAGCACAGTTTCTGTGTCCAGCTGTCAACAACTAAAAAAAAATCAGAAACAGTCAAACCCCCAGAAACATTTTTTTTGTGAATTTCTTGTTCAATTCACTGTGAATTTGTCTGATTACCTTCTAGTTTTCCTTTCATTTTCTTCAGTTCACCACAAATAACGAGACTCGTTGTAAGCACGAGACTCGTTGTAAGCCACTGAAATGGTTTTGGGTAACGCTAACTTGACTAGGCTACATATTTTAGAGAATACCAGACGCGTTATTTGATACGCGCCTTTTGTCAAGGAACTTATTTGCCCGAGGATACCTAAGCTTACCTAACGTCTACCTTCTGTGTTGATTTTCACCATGCTTGGTCGCTAGTAGACGTGTGTTTTTCTTTTGCCTCCCCGTGTCTCGTCGCGGATTGGTCGGGCCGGTGGCGTGGGTGCCAGACGGTCGCGTCTGATATACGCCGCGTCCCGGGGTGTGAGTCTCTGCACTACCTGGAGACTCCCAGGTACTGACGCACCATGGCGGTAGAATTCGTGTGCTTCGTTAAGGTGGATCCTTCATTTCAAGTCGTCATGGATGCGATAAATGAACTGTCTAACTACGGACTTCTTCGACATGATTGCACCGTGACGGCTGGGAACACGGAGTTGCGAAGTACGTCAGACAACCAACAGTTTGGTGGTCGCACCCCGACCAACGCGTTTTCACGCACGCTGGGAAGCGTGCTCAGAGCATTCATGGTAAGGGCCACCTATCCTGTACGGTTGCATGACCCAAGGTTTGATTCGAAGGCAGTCAATTTACGTGCGGGCTACAACCATAACGTTCACCCGCAAGGGATGGCCCAGCAGCAAGTCGTTCAGAACGTGGTCCAAGCCCAGGAAATAAGCGCCATCTTTGACCGTCTGTACCCACATTTCTTCATAGAGAACAAGCTCGCTGCAGTGGCCCTGGGGACCTGGGTATACCTCCCAGGAATGATGGTGATCGTGGAACTGCAGGGAGGTGTAATCGTCAAGCTTCACACCATAAATACGACGGTGAGGGCCAAGCACAACGGAGTAATGTATGGGCCAATGCCACAGGATCATAATGGTCCTATCCCGCACATCTTTCACTGTCCCCACCCAAACGTGGTACGTGTAACGTCTACAGTCCACGGCTTGCAACCTGAGCAATCTGCCGGCAAGTTCCCCCGCCTTAACCGACTGATGGAAATGATATACGAACATCTTGAAATCGTGCGAGGGAATCAAGACGACAACTTTGTCCAACTATTTGAAAATCAGCTTCACCTTGGCCAGCCTGAGGCTCAAGACCAGGGGGCCCAAGAAGAGGAAGAAGAAGACGAAGAAGACGAAGAAGACGAAGAAGACGAAGAAGAAGACGATAATGATGATGATGATGACCAGTGAGAAGACTGGTATGTTATATCTTAAGGCGTTGGGAATGGTAGCCTGGTATCCAGTCCATCAGTTAGCACTCCACGAATTGTTATTAACTCAAACCGTGTAAATCTTCTTCCAAGCGCCAAATTGAACTGGCCGGCAGAGATCTCCAACAGTCCGGAAGTGGGCTGGCCCAATCCACGATAGACTGGCCACCAGGCTCATACTGTGAGGAAAAAAATGAACAGGAGAGGAAATTAATGTACCATTGTACGCGCTGACATCCTTTCGATGAACCGTATTGGAGGCGAATGCACGTAAAAAGGTGTTGTTTCTTTTCATTCTTTGTTATGTTACTTATCTCTCACTACAATTGATTAAGATAAAACAGTTTGCTTACGAGAAGTTAAAATGAGGAAGCAAGAAGACAAGTTGTGCATTACATTATACTATCTTTGTATTTTACTGAGGGAAAATGGAGTTGCCTTTTAAATTTATCTTGTGAAATGCTTGTAAATAAATTTCAACGATACTAGAGAAAGACAGACAACAGATTTTTAATGTTATTATCATATAATGTTAAATGACGTTTTGGGTAGGTTTGGTAAGTTTAATAAAAAACAACAACACTACTTTTGAGATTATAAACATGATAAGCAATTCAATCACTTTAACTGCCTGTAGAGTGTTGTGCTGTTTATAGTTTTAGAACTATGTGTGTTTACTAGCTTCTTCCCAGTCATTATATAGAAATATCAACCAGCGAGTGTGTCAGTGTGTCAAAAAATAAACACAAAATTATTTTGAAAGAATGTGTGTGCTTACCTTCATTGCCAAAAAAACTAGAGCCTGGATGCGACACCCATGTGGAGGGCCAGAGATATATTCAGTTAAGTAAGGCCTTCAGCTGGAGGAGAAACACTACTCTCCAAGCAGATGTTTGGGTTTTGGCTTATTTTTGGCGTGTTTTCAGGCTTTTTATGCCAAATGGTTGGGTTGGGTGAAAAAAATTCCAGTGCAAGAAACCCCGATAAAAAAGCCTAAAAACACGCCAAAAATAACCCTTAACCCAAACCTCTGCTTGAAGAGTAAGCTTTAATACCAACATTTGTTATTGATTAACAAAGCTATACAAAGGTCTGGGGTTCGACTGATTACATGTACTTGCGCACAAGTGTAGTGTTTGACATTGTGTAAATCGTTCTTGGCCAAGGACGGCGAAAAGTTACTAGGGGGGGGGGATGTAAGGTGTGTCCATAGGCCCGGTCACACTGGCCGAACTTTGCTGGAGCAACGGTGAATAAAATTCATCACCGCTCGAAACCGTTCACCACCGTTAAACAGAAGTTGGCCCCCGTTAAAGCAACGCCGTGTACGCCCGGCCACCGCTGATGTTTCTGGAGGGCCCCTCCTACCGCTCCCAACGGGGCAAAGACCGGTAATGGACTGTCCGGGAAAACATGTAAGAAAGAAGGTGTTAAAAGTCACCTGCCTGAGTGAAACCACATCAAAAGCACACATTCATAGGGTCACTCGGCCTCTAAACTGTCAATTTTGTTGATATAAAAAATCCTATACTGCTAAAGGCATTTAAACGTTAGCACAAACTTTCAGAAGTGACCTCTGACCTCTATCACCAGCTGATGATACGAGTAGCATGGAAACTAAGGACTTCTTTTCTGGCCTGGACACACCAAACATGGCACAAACTCAATTTTTTTTACATAATCAAATGAAAATAACCCTTACCTATATCATCCAGCTCCAAAAAAAGCAACAGATCCCAACATTAAGAAATTTTACACTTTTTTTGTTTTAAAAAATCGTATCACACTTGGGGCCCTCTGGGCATGCGCGTAATCCTGGCATTTGCCCTTCATACCTCCCAAGTTCAAGGTAGATAGTTTTCAATCTTTTCACATAAACCGGGGAGGGGTTGCGCGTAATCCTGGCATTTGCCCTTCATACCTCCCAAGTTCAAGGTAGATAGTTTTCAATCTTTTCACATAAACCGGGGAGGGGTTGCGCGTAATCCTGGCATTTGCCCTTGAGCCCCTTTTCAGACAAGGAAATTAGAGCAAGGTCATCTGCCCAAGACAAGCAGTTAAGCGATTTGTAACTTAAAAGATGCAGATTCACATTCATTACAATCAAAACATTGAGGTAGATCATTGATAAAAAGATTGAATACCAATGGACTGAGGTTACAACCTTGTCTTGCCCCAAATTTCGAGGCAAATTGACTTGACAAACCATTTGCCTACATGTACATAGTTAACGGTGCACACCCCCGTTCTTCACGATAGTCCGTGGTAAAAAAAGTGAAGAAAGGGTTTTGAGGGTCCAAGTTTGAGGTGAGATTTCTCATAAACTGCCACGAAATATCATTAAACATTAACATGGCTGAAGAGTGTAAGAAATTGTGATTTTGAGGTGAACATTTCTTTTTGCACCGAACCTTACTTCCGGGTATCCTTGCGCGCCAAGTGTAATCCGCCCGTTTGACCTAGATTTCGCTGTGCGCCTTCCTAGGAGCGGATTTGCAACCCCTCGCGCCGTGGACTGTTTAGAAAATATTAGAACTAGAATTTTCTTTATAATTTACTCGGGTATAGTCAAGGTTTGGGTCTTTCTGCCAGCATCAGTCATTTCTGCCGGAAAATTTTTTTCTATGGGATTATGCTGCGCGAAAATTCGCAATTTTGTGCATTCATTTTGGAGTGAAAATTATGTTTTTTCCGTTGATTTTACCAAAATTAACCCTCAAACACCCAAACGGGGTCCATTTGGACCCCAGACGTATATTTTTATGTGCTATTTTAATCTTTTTCATTCTAAAAAAAATTCCTCCCGTGACTTTGTCAGTAAACCTCTTCTACAAGTTTTCCTAAATTTTTTTGGAGATCGGCACAAATTTGTAAAAATAACAACGGAAGTCTGATGTAAGACCGTCTGGGGTCCAAACGGACCCCAACCATGTATTTGCACTTTCCTACACATGAAATTGTTCGGATGTCCTCAATATGTCTTCAAGGAAGCATTATTGCTTAAATATTATGCAGTTTGCCAAGTTACCTCAACTTTAGGAAGTATTTCATCAGGTTTTCAGAGGTTTGACAACCATATGAGGTCAAAGGTCAACCCCATGTTCACGCCTGAAGGCTTCATCCAATTTTTGCATCAATTATGATAATGAGCTGGAATTTTTAAACACTTAATCATGCCAAAAAAACATCTTAATATGTTTAATCAATATATGAGCAAAGATCACTGAAAGGATGCAAAAAGGAATATAAATTTGAAAGAAACCAAATGGGTTCCATTTGGACCCCGTTCGGGCATTAACGTCACAAAAAAAGTTCGGGTGTTTGAGGGTTAAACGTTTATCGTGGATCGAATAAGTCTGTTATTTTAGCTGAAGTACAGAATGTACACACCGCTTTATGTGAGGTTTATACGTGCCAGTGAGAAACAAAGAACAGATACCAGGGTAGACAGAGGTGAAACAAGTTTTAGATGCGTCCATTACTAGACACGGTCTTTGGTCAATTTACTAGACGGTCCTTTTTGTGCATCACCTGTTGTAATAATCTCTAGATAAGAAGCAAATCTTGCGTATTGAAAATGTTTTCCCTGTTCTTATTTAAATGTAGTTTTGTATTTCCCGATTCGGCCATGTTCATCATCACAACAAAAGAACTGACGTCACCATTGATAAAGTGCTTTCACCATGGATGAAGTGCTTAATAGAAGAAGCAAATCTTGCGTATTTAAAGGATTTTCTTTTTTTTCACTTTCATATTGTTTAGCGTTTCGCGATTCGGTCATGGTACATCCTCACAATAGAAGAGCAGACGTCATTATATGGATCAAGTGCTGAAAAAGAAGCTTATATAAGGCTTTTCACGTTTCGTGGACCGAATAAGTCTGTTATTGTACAGTACAGAAGTACGGAATGTCCGCTATATGAAAGTGTTTGCACGTGTGTGTGGGTCGCTATATTTGTTGTCAGCATAACTTAAGAGGACCTGACTGAATTGTGTTGATAGTTGGTAATCAGGCAGGGTTTTTTTTGGGAGGGGGGCAGTGGTCAAGATCAATTGTGGCATATAGCTTTTTTATGTCTTAAGAAGTTGTGCGTGCATTAAATGGCTGGGTATGGGCAGCAAACATAGGGAGGCCAGTTGTTGGGTTCCCCGGTAACATTTTCGTGCGAGTGTATGAGACGATTGAAACAATCTGTGTTGGTAGAAGTCATTGTGAAACAAGTTTGACACAAGAATTTGTACTCATAGAAATTTTCGACTGTAAAACTCCAGTCTTTGTGAAGGAATGAGCAATTCACCGCTTCCGTGACGTCACGTAGATAACACACGTGACTCCGTGAGTAATGGATTATAGGTTTCAGAAAGTCTGTGGCGCCCCCCCGTCTCTGTTGAGGGATGGTTGTAATACCTGATGTAGATGGCCTCTTAAATCCCTCGTCCAAAAAAGTCCGATTCTGTGTCCAAGATTCTTACTTTATCAAATGAGACTGAATGTCCAGACGATTCAATGTATATATGTTGTGAGACTTCCGAAGTAGTCGAGCTAGTTCTAAGAACCTACTAGTAGCCTTGAAGGATATTTCAGTCTCTCCAATATATGTTTCCTTACTGGGTCCTTGGAGTTCTGTCCTTGACACTGTATCTTATAATGGTACACGACCTCACATTTACTTTCTTTTAGTGTCTTGTCCTTGGGTATATTCCGGAGGGTTCTAGTTGGTCTAAAGCAGGTCTTGATACCGTGCGTGGTAAACATTCTTCTGAGCTGTGTTATTTGCGTAACGTCACGTACAGAGCCATGTAAGACTAGAGAAGAAACCGTTCACAGAAATGGTCCACGTGTATTCAGGGCTTCTACTCTAGTGCTTCTCTTTGCGAGCGATCAGGTATATTGTAAGGATATACATGTACATGTATATTCGACATCGACATGATATCGAACGTCATGACCGCTCAGGTATGACATAAATACTGGTATTTCACGGAGGCAATGGTTGACTTCATGTTCGCGACATCTCTAACGTTTCTAACGTTCCATTCTTCACATTGGGTTGAATATTTGGTTCTGCCCACTGGCGTTTTTACAAAAAGGACATTTTCCATTATTCCTAACCATTATTCCCACAGTCAGGATTTACGCCGTGTGCTCTGCGTTTCGTGGAAGAATAGGAACAGGAAATGAGTTGAACCAAATAAAGACAAAGCCCGCACCTGGCAGTACCTTGCACATTAGATCACGCAAGTGAAGGAAATGGCGGGAGTAATTAGAAGTCCTTTCTGCGTTGTCCTGGGTTTTCTGTGGATTTGGGAGAGTCGTGGACAGACAGGTAAGATGTTTGTCTGGTAGTAGAATGACATGTAGTTACATGGCCGTAGCCAGGATTTTGAATGGGGGGGGGGTTCGTTCCCACTGCTTGAGGGGACCTGGAGCGCCATAGGCTCGAGGCGAGTGCCGAAGGCGCGAGGTTCCTAGGGAGGTCCGGGGGCATGCTCCCCTGGAAAATTTTGAAAAATGAACCTTCTAAAATGGCATTTCGTGCATTTTTGAAAGGATTACCAAGAAAAAATCAGAGATAAATTTTTATTCAATGACAAAGGGAGCAGTTTTTCTAAGATTCCAGTCCATCTTTTCAAGAAAAATCTTGGACTTTTACATAAAATCTTGGGCCTTTACATAAAATGTGGACCAAAAAGTGGACCTTTACATAAAAAGTGGACCAAAAAGTGGACCTTTGAGCCTTGTGGGGGGGGGGGTCTTCAGGCTACGGGCATGAGTTATAACTTTACTGTTTCGTGATCGTTTGTTTGAACCATTCGAACCAGCGAAGGGACGTCGACTTTGCTCAATTTGGGGGTACAAATAAAGGGAAGCAACAACACATAAGGCGGCACAAAATCAGCCCGGCAAAGCAGACTGTCAAAGGGAAACGAGCCGAGAGATAGCAAACAAAAAATGCATGACACGTGTGGGGTACGGTCCATTTTGTGCATCACCTTTTATGGCAATAATCTCTAAATAAGAAGCAATTCTTGCGTATTTAAAGTTTTCTTTCTCTTTATTGTGAAGTTGTTTGGCATTTTCCAATTGGGTCATGTTCATCCTTAAAACAAAAGAGAAGACGTCACTATGGATCAGTTAGTTTAAAAAAAGCTTATAAGGCTTTACACGTTTATCCTGGATCGAATAAGTCTGTTATTTAGCTGAAGTACAGAATGTACATTTATGAAGATTTACCACATTTGTGGAAGGATTGACATAACAGGTGACTATCACCTTTTCAAAGATGTCAACCCCGAGACAAGACTGTAAGGTTTGAACCACTCACACCTGGAAGGTCCCCTACTCTTTTCGATAAGTGTGGTGGGTTCTTTAACGTGCGTGGGGTGTGGCTCTCCCAAACACGGGACCTCCATTTAACGTCCTATCCGAGGGACGTCCTTAGCCGAAACTAGGTACTCATTTACACCTGAGTGAAGTGAGGAAAGTCGTGTAAAGTACCTTTCCCAAGGGTACAACGTCGGGGCGCATGTTCGGACTTGTTCGGGTACGACCCGGAATCGAACCCGGGTCTCCCCGTTTCAAAGTCCAGTGATGTACAACTACACCACACGACGCCACATACCGCTTTATGTGAGGTTTATACGTGCCAGTGAGAAAAAAAGAACAGATACCAGGGTAGACAGAGGTGAAACAAGTTTTAGATGCGTCCATTACTAGATACGGTCTTTGGTCAATTTACTAGACGGTCCTTTTTGTGCATCACCTGTTGTAATAATCTCTAGATAAGAAGCAAATCTTGCGTATTGAAAATGTTTTTCCTGTTCTTATTTAAATGTAGTTTGGTATTTTCCGATTAGGCCATGTTTATTTTATCATCACAACAAAAGAACGGACGTTACCATTGATAAAGTGCTTTCACCATGGATGAAGTACTTAATAGAAGAAGCAAATCTTGCGTATTAAAAATGTTTTTCCTGTTCTTATTTAAATGTAGTTTGGTATTTTCCGATTAGGCCATGTTTATTTTATCATCACAACAAAAGAACGGACGTTACCATTGATAAAGTGCTTTCACTATGGATGAAGTGCTTAATAGGAAGCAAATCTTGCGTATTTAAAGCATTTTCTTTTTTTCATTTTCATATTGTTTAGCGTTTCGCGATTCGGTCATGGTACATCCTCACAATAGAAGAGCAGACGTCACAATATGGATTAAGTGCTGAAAAAGAAGCTTATATAAGGCTTTTCACGTTTCGTGTACCGAATAAGTCTGTTATTGTACAGTACAGAAGTACGGAATGTCCGCTATATGAAGGTATTTACCCATATGTGAGGATCTTACATGCCAGCCACAGAGCGAAAAATGACACATGTCAGTGTTAACAGAGGTGACTCTAGTTTTAGGTGCGTCTTCGGTCCTTTTTGTGCATCACCTGCCTCGGAGGACGTGCTGTGATCTTTTTTTTTTAGAACAGGCGAAAATCAATGCGTGCGCGGATGTCATCCATAGAATTAAGACGGTGTGGCCTTAATAAAAAAAAACTTAGCAGAACTCCAGCCAACCATTTGGGAGTAAGTCAGCAGTGTTATTGGCGTGTTTAGGGGTCCAATTTGACTCAAGGTTCACTCAAATTAGTTACGAGTCATATAGAAAGGTAGACTTGACCTAAATCTCGTCATACTGCTCTCGAACGTCAGCCGAACCTGGGAACCGGGGAAAGGGCGCCAATGTTTGACAGGAGCTTGACAATTTTGAAAGTCCACGGAACACAACGAGCCCCTGGCATTGCGCCATGCGAGAAGCACAGGAACTGCAGCGGTCGATGCGGTGTTGCCAACTTTTGCTTTGAGCGGCTTTTGTGCGTTCAAAAAACTTTGACAAATCACTCAATGGTCTATAGAAAACTATAGAAGCTGCCAAGAAACTCATTTTCATTTCTTTTCTTTTCTATTGTTCTCAGGCATCATGGCGGGATCATCCCCGCGCAGTTTGGAGGCGCTCGCCCTGTGCTTCCTCGTGTTCCTGTTACCGGGGGTCTCCGGATGTGGAGGCAACCTGACGGCTCCCTCTGGAGGTCCTGTCACGTCACCGAACTACCCCGGTAACTATGGCAACAACCAGGACTGCGAGTGGCTGATCACCGTCCCGGCAGGAAGCATGATCCGTCTCACGTTTCACAGCTTCGACCTGGAGGAAGATTATGACTTTCTGCGCATCTACGATGGAGCCAGTGCAAGTGCGGCGCTGATACAGGAGTAAGGCCCTAAACTGTAATATATTGATGAGAACTAGCTCATATCAATGCTGCAGCTAGCAATATGTGGGGTCGTGTGGCGTAGCGGCCGAGTGCTCGACTCAGAACCAAAGCAAGAGGTCCCGGGTTCGAATTCGAGTCCTGACATGCCACCGATCTTGTGCCCTTGGGAAAGGCACTTTACACGACTTTCCTCACTTAACTGACAGGTGAAAATGAGTATTGTCCTGTTCCGTATTTGTCCTCTATCTGCGTTGGTGACGGCATAAAATAAGCTGATATAACTTGAGTGTGCCGTCACCATGTTTTGTCATGAAATAGTGGTATAAAAATGGTGATGACCCATCTATGGTGTATATAAATACATATCCCGAAACACCCTTATGAAAGCTTCGATTGTGTTGTGTGTTTTGAGACAAAGATTGGCTCAATTGAGACACAGATTGGCTCAATTACTATTTATTCTTGGATCTCTAGGTTAACGGGTCTGCGGTCAGTCTTCCCTATCGTCAGCACATCTAACGTGATGTTCCTGAAGTTTACATCTGACGACAGTGGAAGAGAACAGGGGTTCAGTTTCTCCTACACAAGTCGCAACACGTCTGGTAAGGAGTATATTTCTTTTTGTGTTTTGTGGTCAGCATAAGTTAAGAAGGCTTTGGCAAGTGTCACAGATGAGCCGAGTCACGTACAGATTCCGAACTTCTCTTTTTAATCAACTTCGTACTCTAAGACAGACACCAACAGGACCTCTCTCTCTAGACCTCCCCCTCCGGTCTGACCTAGCCCTCGCATTCCTGGGCCAAACTATGTCAAACGCTTGGATTCCATCACACAAGACAAAGGTCAAAGTCGTTTGTGTCCCCTGGCGACGGTATTTTGTTCTTTCGGTTTTTGCATCTTTTGTCCGGACATGCAAGGTTCTTAATTTTTACCTCTTAAACATGGGAGGTGTTGTTTTGGGCCTGTTTTTGTGTTTGTGTTTCTGTGTGTGTGGGTGCGGGGGGGGGGTCGCTATATTTGTTGTCAGCATAACTGGATTTTGTTGATACTTAGTAATCAAGCAGGGGTTTTTTTGGTGGTCAAGATCAATTGTGGCATATAGCTTTTTTATGTCTTGAGAAGTTGTGGATGGTTGTGCATTAAATGGCTGGGTATGGGCAGCAAACATAGGAAGGCCAGTCGTCGGGTTCCCCGGTAGCATTGTCGTGCGAGTGTATGTGACGATTGAAACAATCTGTGTTGGTAGAAGTCATTATGATACAAGTTTGACACAAGAATTTGTACTCATAGAAATTTTCGACTGTAAAACTCCAGTCTTTGTGAAGGAATGAGCAATTCACCGCTTCCGTGACGTCACGTAGGTAACACACGTGACTCCGTGAGTAGTGGATTATAGGTTTCAGAAAGTCTGTGGCACCCCCCGTCTCTGTTGAGGGATGGTTGTAATACCTGATGTAGATGGCCTCTTAAATCCCACGTCCAAAAAAGGCCGATTCTGTGTCCAAGATTCTTACTTTATCAAATGAGACTGAATGTCCAGACGATTCAATGTGTATATGTTGTGAGACTTCCGAAGTAGTCGAGCTAGTTCTAAGAACCTATAGCTACTAGTAGCCTTGCAGGATCTTTCAGTCTCTCCAATATGTTTCCTTACTGGGCCCTTGGAGTTCTGTCCTTGACACTGTATCTTATAATGGTACACGACCTCACATTTACTTAGTGTTTTGTCCTTGGGTATATTCCGGAGGGTTCTAGTTGGTCTAAAACAGGTCTTGATACCGTGCGTGGTAAGCATTCTTCTGAGCTGTGTTATTTGCGTAACGTCATGAAAACCGTGGGCAGCTCATTCCTCGAAAAATCACTGGAGTTGGGCGAGTCCAATTTCTTTTGTTGGAAATTGAAGTTCAAAATTGTTGGATAATGATGCAAATTAGTCAAAAGCTCCTGTTGTTTCAGAACAGGAGCTTAAGTGTTGTGTGTTCTTGGTGCTTGTAGCTCCTGAGAGTTCTCTAGTGCTTATTAATCTGCATTTCTCCTCTGGTCTTTCAGTCACTGACGAAAGGTAGTGGATGCTACACTGCTACATGAAACGTCTGACTAGTCCCAAAATCATATCTAGTTGCTTGCCAATGAGTAACTGCTTTTAACGTATGCATGTATGTATGTATGTAATTTATCACGATAAATCAAGAAGCTTTGCATGGATAGTCATGAACTTGGTAGGTGGGTAAGTCTTGATGAGACCTCGAAACCATTAGATTTTTGACCTTTTAGTGGCTTGTTATGGTGTTGCAGATTGTTATGGAACTTCCGATTTTGTTATCTCGTGACCTGGACGTGCTAGGCCTAGGGTCATGCTAGCTACACAGCATTTCCCGCGGAGTTAAGGTTTACGGGCTGAGGTACCCGCTTCTAAATCTATAGGCGACGCCATGATTGTAGTCCGGGACTCATCCCCATAGCGCCACGCATATCATTTGTATGTTACTTGCATTCGCACTCGTATGACTGAAATTGCACTTTTTAAGTGCTATCAACATAATTTCCCTGCTGAATTATCACACAAACAATACATCATATTGATTACAAAGTAGTGAATTCTTGAAATCGCAGAAAGAAAGAGCCACCTCATTTCAGTTAAACTTTCATAGTTGGTAATATATATGTAATATATATTTTTGCAGATCAATGCTGGGACCTTGGTGTGCCAGCCAATGGGATCAGGGATAACAACAGTAACTTTACATCAGGACAGACAGTCAGGTACACCTGTATGGACGGGTATCCTCTGTGGGGGACTGCCAATATAACCTGCCAGCCGGACGGGACTTGGAGTGGTGTTCCACCAACTTGTGGAGGTAATAAGTAAAGAATAAAAGTGTTGACGTTAGGGTTAGAACGTCCGGTTTACGGTATTATACGCGTATACCGCTAACTTTGATCGTCATGTCTTTTTGATGACTTATCCGCGTTAAATCTCTACTACTCGCAGCCCTCAGTTTTGCGATAAAGTTCGTCCTGCTAGAATCTCAGTTCAACATTTTTACGTTTCTGTGGAAGTTAATCCAGTTAAACTGAAATATTACCGGAGAAAGTAGAGGATAATCTTCGAAAGAACAGAAGTTACGTACGTACGAGCGCCCCCTCCCCACTTGACGATTCACGTTCGACGATATTATCTAAGGCCAATGTCGACTTGCGATCGTGAAATTTCCGGAACAACCGCCAAAATTTCGCGAAATGTTTAACCACAAGGATGTCTACCTGTTATTTTCACGTCCCTATACAGGTTTTGTACGAATGAAGTCAGTATATTACGTATTTTTTTATGCGAGCGTAGCTAGCGTATAACGTACATAATTATAGTAAACAATGAGTTCGGTCAATAAACTCGGAAAATGAGCGGGGATTTGTGATTTCTACCGGCTGAAATTAAATCCAGGCCAAATGCTCACGACAACCTTATCTATTCGTTCACTTTTGCCGTGCGTCGGTACATACAGGGCATATGTCCGGCATGGTCCCACAAAGGCATTCTAAGTACATGCCCCAGGAATCGAAGTTGACGCTGCCTTACCATGGTGATAAGGGGTCGAGTGTTGGTCAACTTGTAGATCCAGGCGTTGCTCACATGGTCTTTGATGCACGACCCTATAGCATGATGTGGTGAACGCGTTTAGCTTATTTTCCATGACCCAGGATTCACAGCCATATAACAGTATTGTCAAGCAGGTGGTGTTGAAAAGCTTGACTTTAGTGGATGTGGAGATTGATGGACTTCTCCAGATCTTCTCCAGCTTCCAAAAAGCAGTCCATGCAAGTGATTTCCTCTTGGCCATATCATAGCTGCTAGAGGCCATCATGGACCCCAGATATTTGAAGTTGGCAACATATCTTATTGGCTGCTTACAATTACACACACACACACACACACACACACACACACACACACACACACACACACACACACACAAACACACACACACACACGCGCATGCACACACACACACACACGCACACACAAACATACATGCGTGCGCGCGCGCACACACACACACACACACATACGCAATTACACAATTACACACACACGAACGCCATTGAAAACATATCATTCATAGCGAAGGTAATTAGACAAGACAATAGGAGAAGACGTGCATATATAGAGGCATACTGGCCAGTGGCAGTACAGTTGCGTACTATTTTGTCCGTGACCTTGCAATGCCAACAATAAGAGGCACAGTGTAACCAAGAATAAACGCTCTGATGCCACTGTAAATGTACTACCATGCTTAATTTCAAGAGCGAACTTAAAACACCGCAAAAATCCATTTACAAATACTAACGCGTCCGAACAAAACTGAATTTGCAGTATTTCATCCTTCTCTCCTCTACTGCTTTTCAAACAAAGATAGTGCGGTGCTTTTGCATTTGTAATATATTCGTTTCTGTGTTGTGCAGTATGAGCTAAAATTTGGCATGACGGTAGAATACCCCCGGACAGTCTTTTCATTTTATAGAAACAGGCCTTTGAAATCATTGTTTTATTTGGGTTTTCTGGCCATTTTCAGGCAAAAAAATTACATTTTGGGATCTGGAGCCCTGTAGTTAGTATTAAATCCGAATGAGCTGAAATTCGGTATGGGGATACCTTGGACACATGTTGAAAAAATGTATACGTATGTAATGTATGCAGATCAGGCCAATTTTATGGTAACTCATTAACCTGTCACATCACTTATTTTGCTACTATCTGTCTGTGTCAGTATGCCCCACGGTTGTCCTGTATGGCGACTCCGACACCCTGCAGGCCGGTAAGATGACGTCCTACACCATGACGGGAGCCACCCGCGTTGACCGGCCCGTGTACTACAGCAGCGTCACCTGCCAACTCCTGTATTACTCCGAGCGTGCCATGGCGTGGTGGGTGGGACCGCAGCTTGACGAAACGGGCGTGCGTGTCCGGGACTCCGCCCTCTACGCTGACCAGATCAACGGGATGTTTGATCTGTGGAACGGGGGGTGGGTAGAGAACCCGGATGTGAAGACCGCCTGCTATGGTTCGTAGCACCTACCATATTTGAAAAACACATGAAAATGGAACCGACAACGTCTTATACCTTATATTTACGTTTTAATACATAAAATTTTAGATTTTTTTCATAAAATGCAGAAACATGAAACGATAAAATGGTAATGTTGGACCATAATGATGTCCAAGTTCTTTTTGAATTTTATTTTCAATCCTGGTTGCCCAGAACCTTAGCTTTTTGCAATATTTCTTTAAAGCTTACAATCACGTTCGGCCATATGAAGTCTGCATTTTTTTATTCTGTTCGTTTCAGATGACGTCCCAGCTGGCGTGGTAGTTCCACAATCGGCAGGGAGCGCTACAAACTGTACGAGAGTCCGTCTGCACGGCGGTGCCGACTACCAACCCTACCTCATGACGACTTACACCAGAACAAACCAGACCAGTGGTGGCAGACCTGTCTACGTTAGTGACACATACAGCCGATACTTTCTCTACTTCGTCAATTACTACAGGGAATGGGTGATAGGTCCCACGATCGGAAAATACAGCGGCGACGCTTATGTTGAGAACTGCGCCATGACACCTGACCAGATCAGGTCCCCGTGGAGACTGAGGGACGGGAATCAGGAGCAAGTCGTCTGGTCGGTTACTGCCAGCTGTGTCAGTAAGTACTTTGTATCATATAAATAATTAAATAGATATAAACCTTTGCCTTCGCCAAGGAGGTTATATTTTCGGTAGCGTTAGTTTGAATTCTTCCGTCTGTGTGTGTCTCAAGAAGTCTTACCCCTTAAAATGAATCCGGATTGACCGCCGATCAGAAATTCATCAATCCCGATCGACCTGCGCGTTCACACTGCTTTCTGCCGATCGGAATTGCATTGTGCATCGAACTCAGATATGGCCTGAGGTGTCACGTGATAATAGAGCCCGCCATCTTGAACGCACCGGAGCTGCTGCAACTCCGCCGTAAATTTTGCCAAAGAAAGCAATTCAGAAATTTTGTACAGCGTGGAATCTTAGCGGAAATAAAGAGAACACCTTGTTGAACATGTTTGGGTGGCCAGGGTTTAGCTCCCGTTGCGTGAAGGCCGATATTTTGCGGGTTGTAACATTCTATTCCACTGGCTTGCCATTCCACTTGAGTGCCAGTAACGTTGGGGCATGGAGGTTGGGGTAAACATGTATCTGCGTGTTTTCTTTTCATATTTCATTGGCAGTGTATCCATAGCATTACACAAGGTCCTTGTCACTGCATATTATAAGACCCGATCGGTTGTGGTATTTGTGGTACATCGTCTAACACCAGCAAACCCCGAAACCAATCCACTTTGATGATGATGATGATGATGACTGGTTTATTCTCATAAACAAATAAATAGACATACAGGTTTAAAAGTCGGTGGCAGCCTAAATGGCTGAATTGTAGACTTTTTTACAATTTAAAATCTTGAGAATGTTATCAATAGAGAATTCAAAACACTACATATACATAGAAAATACAATATTAAAAGTACGAAAAGCATGTTCGGCCAGTACAACAACCAGTATGTTACAGAACTTGCGTATCGTTCAGCAACTTTGTCACATAGTATATAGGGCTCTTAGTGAATCGGACAGTTCTGTGTCTGAGAGTTTGTAGCTGTTTACTCGATCTGGTAGTCCTGCCGGATATGGCCTCACGGCAAGGTGGCAACCAGTTTCTGTAGGTCGGCGACTTCAGCAACGACTCCGCGAACTTTCTGCACAGTTCATGCCGTCGTTGGGAAAGTGTGGATAGAGAGAGTTCAGACAGCGCCGAGCTGTAGCTGCTGTAGTTCTGTCCAAGAATAATTCTGTATGCTCTTCGCTGCACTCTCTCTATTGACTGGCATTCAGCAACTGTGAGTCCCGGATGCCACACTTGACAACACTGGGCGTATAAATCCGATATAGACAAGTACAAGGTCAACTGTGCTCAGACCGTATTTGGACAGTGTCCTTAACATGTAGAGTCTTCTGCTTCCTTTCCCTACGATCATTTCGACGTCTTTGGTCCACTTCAGGTTGCTCTGTATGTAGTATGACGCGTGCGTGCAAACTCGACGACCTCCAGCTTTGTGGGACCGACTGTGATCACAGGTGGGGGTGGCGGATGCTTCGTGAAACAAAACATCACTTTGCGTTCGCACTCGCGTTTACACCCGATCCCGATCCGCCGCAAGTGTCTTGAACTCGAGGTGGATTACTTTTGGATCGGGATCGGTAAAAATCAATCCCGATTGGAGCGTTCACACTGCAAAAACCGATCCGGATTGACTTCATTTCCATAATTGTGATGCCGATCGGCTGTCAATCCGGATCCATTTATTTCACTGTGAACGGGGTCTATTTGGTAGGCTGGTAATGAGTACATTTTGTCTGTTATCCGTCCCACCTAATCTCTTTGAATATTTCAACAACGTCTTCATATAACCTTCGCAACAAAATAAATCTAAATTGTCGGTTTCAACAAACCGTTTGCAAGAACTTCTGTTCCCTATTCTATACGTTACTGGAACAACTTAGACCTGGTAACACGTAGCTATAGCTTTTTTATCTTTTGTATGTACCTGTTTGAAGCCGTGTGTCCCATCAAAGTAAAACATTTTAAATATGGCCCCCGTTATGCCTCCGCCCTTTTAGCGCGTTTTCGCATCGGCATCTGCGGCTTGACTGCAAGTCTTTTCAGGCCCCGTTCGCATCAAGTCACTCAAAGTGGTTCAAGTGGCCCCATCTGACCGCTCCAAATCACATTGAAATCGTCTCGATCCCAAACCACTTCGGGATGTAGTTTCGAACCAGTTTCCCCGGATCGCGATTTACGTTTGAACGCAGGCCCTGTTCAGATGGAACCAGTGAAAGCGCTTTACACGTGGTTTCCCCCGAAGCCGGTTTCAAGCGGCCTATCCGAACGTTCCAAATCACAGTGAAAGCGCCTCGATCCCAAAGGGGTTTCGAACCGCTTTCCCCGGATCACGATTTGCGTCTGAACGCCATGTGATTTCAATGTGACTTCACCTGGTCATGGATTGCGGGGTGATATTTCTTTATTTATATGCAATACCAAAATTTACGTGGCAGCAACTGAGCAGTATTGACCGAATCTTTTTATTTATTTATTTATTTATTACGATTAACCACGTACATAATATACATGGAGGGCATGGTGGAACAGGTGCACCTAAGTGCACCTTTTCAAGGCCACCATGCCCACAAATAAATAGACAATGAGCATTAAAAAAACAGTGTCAGTGATACTATATATACAAATTTACAAGATGGTAAAAGCAATAATAACTGGACTTAACGGGGCCTCGTAGCGCGACAGGAGGTGCAGCCACACGACAGCACCCAGGAGCACGGAATGTTGGTTGAACCTGTTGCGCATGGACCATCGACACGTCAGTTGGACTCGACGCGTTAGCTCCCAGCGCCCTGGTCTCGACGTCCAGTTTATTCCATATTGTTATGACTCGTGGCAGGATGGATTAAGCATAGGAAGAGGTTTTCACTCTCGGTGGGACAAGCATGTGAGCCCTAGAGCTCCGAGGAACTCTAGACGAGAAGTTGACTAACCTCGCTATGTCAGTATCATACACTTTTGCACGAGACTTAACAAATGTTACCACATCGAAAATCTCCCTTCTGTATGACAGAGGCAGCCAGCCCAAATAGGCTAGACGTGTCTTGTAGTCGAGTTGCCCAGAGGAGGGCCCTAAGATGAATTTCGTAGCTCTCCGCTGGACACCCTCGATAAGGGAAATGAGATTTCGCGATGTAGGGCTCCATAGTGGAGAGCAATATTCAAGCACACTTCTGATAAGAGAAAGGTACAATGTTTTCCGAATGTCAGTGTTGGAGTGGAATCCTACAGTTCACTGTACAAAACCAAGCATTGAGTTTAGCTTTGGCCACTGATCTTGCAACATGGGTGTCCCACTTAAGGTCTGATTTTGCTGTTACTCCAAGATCAGACATACTGCTCACTACAGTCAGGGATGAACCGGACATTTGGTAATCAAAGCTAATAGGACGCTTTGAACGAGTGAGTCTTAACACTTCACATTTGGACAAGTTAAAACTCAACTTCCACCCTGTGCTCCAATCGTACAGTGAACAGATATCCTCTTGGAGTTCTAAGCAGCCATTAGTGTTGCGTATCTCTTTAAAACATTTGCTGTCATCAGAAAAAGTGCTGATACAGAGTTTTTGGCAGAGTCAGGTAAGTCATTTATGTAGAGTAAGAACAACAGTGGGCCTAGGATAGAGCCCTGTGGGACCCCTGAAGTAACTGTGCGCCATTCAGACTTACTACCTTCAACTACCACTCTTTGACGGCGATTGGAATAGTAGGACTTGAACCACGTTAGAATGCTACCGGTGAAACTGAACATTTGTAATTTGTGGACTACACGGAGACACGGAGGTGTAGTATATATTTACTTTCTGTTACTTTATTTTGCCTATTTTTGTTTTATGTTGACAACTAGGTAGCCAGAGAGCTACTAAGTGATGGACTCTCTTTAGTTATTTTGTATTTTGTTGATCTTTATTTTACCTGCAATGAATGAGATAGTAAAGGTGAAATGCCAGTCTTGATTGTATTAGCGTAGAGGATATTTTGCTCATGTTGTACAATTACTATGCCTATGACTGCACAAATCACATTTTCAAGCACTTGTTTATACCTGCTATTGTATACTTGTAGCTTACGAACGACAAATTATCTCTGGAGGTACACACTGTATTCGAAGTATCTGAGGAAAGCCGGCAAATTTGCATGTGAATACTCTAGCGTGCCTGGCAACCCATCGGATTTGCTATTGATTTTGTCTTAGCGTAGAAGCTTTAACGATAAAGAAACCAACTAAGCTATCAAATTACTGACAATGACAATGATCTTTATTGCATGTTCTTGCCCATAGGGCTAAATGCATTACAAAGATATATGCATATATGTATATATGTATCTAACGTTATATCTAATCTATCTAGGTACTACATTCTACAACAATACTATCAAGACTGTTATCTAATACCTATTATTTTATCTATCCTACCCAGTCCGCAGAGATTCTTCTCGCTTTTTGAAACATGTGTATATGAAGTATATGAGTATATGAGTTCTTCTATAATGAGTTGATTGTTACATGACATTAAGTAGTTAAATATGGCATCTATCGCTTTATTTCTACACCATAGGTTAATATGTATTTTGTTGAAAAACAGTGCACGCTCCTCGTCATATAGGCTGCATTCTACTAAGAAGTTTTTCGTTTACGGGAGTCTGGTTGTACCTACCTTTTTCTATTTGTAAATTGTGATCGCTAATTCTGAATTTGGCCATAGCTCGGCGATGTTTGAAGTTGGCTACATTGAGGTACTTTTCTCTTTCAAATAGAAATTTAAACGTTTCGTAGGTTCTTAGTTTGTTCCCTTGATTTTCACTTTTACCAGGGCAGTTTATTTCTGCATGGAATTTTTGCAAAAACATGTCTTTCAGCCTTTGTTTTAATTGAACCGAGACAGTGGGTATATTGTGGTTTGGGTTCAGTAATACGTAGGCAAAACCAGACTCCTCCATAAGTTGACGTACATTGGATAGCCAGCAAGGTACTTTACTACGACATAAATCCTGTTGAACAATGAGCACCTGGTATTGTAAACTATTTGTCGGTATTTCGTTTACTAATCTAGCATAATAACTATATAGTCTACATTGCGCCTCTATCCATAGGGGGAACCTGCCTAGTTCTGTTCTTGTAGCGTAGTTGCTTGCATTCTTCTTTACTCTAATTAGATATTTACAAAGTTTAAGGTGTACTTGTTCGAGAGGAGAATTGTCGTTTAGACCACTATTGCCCCAGATCTCCGCGCCGTACAATAGTATGGGCAAGACACAAGCGTCAAACAATTCACAATACAACGATAGTGGGGAATTGGCTTCGCCTAAGGTTGTTCTTATACTAAAAAGAGCTCTAAGGGCTTTCTTTTGTAGAGTTTTCATGGCTGTGTTATGACTGCAGCCTGTGGTGAAAATTAGTCCTAAATAGCTGTATGAAGACGCAACTTCAATATCATCATTGAATAACTGGAATTTCAGTTTAGAAAGGACTTGCCCTTTTCGGTTAAATATAATAACCTTAGTTTTCTTTAGGTTTATTGTTAATTTCCATTTTTGGCAATATCGGCCAAGGATATCAATTGCCTTCTGAAGGCCATGCTGACTTGTTGATAGCAAAACAATGTCATCTGCATAAAACAGACTGGAGACTTCGGAGCTGTGTAGTAGGGGGGCGTTTAGTTCTCCCGTGTTTAAGTCGTCTGCAAGTCGCTAATAAAAAGGTTAAACAAAGAAGGACTAAAAACACAGCCTTGCCTTACGCCAGTCTCAATTGGGAAGCTATCGCTCAAGCCGTCTCTGGTTTTTACACGTGCTTTAGATTGATTGTACAGACTTCTAATGATTTTGAAAAATTTACCTGAGATACCTTTTGTTAGAAGTTTAAAAAGTAGGCCTTCGTGCCAAATGGAATCAAATGCCTTAGAAAGGTCAACGAAGCAAGCAAATAGGCGTTTCCCGGATTGTGTGTATTTTGAAATCAAGGTTTTTAGAATAAAGATATTATCTGATGTTCTAAAGTTTTTACGGAATCCTGCTTGGTTTGGTTTTATAATTTCGTTTTGTTCCAAAAAGTTTGAGAGTCTTTTGTTTAGTACAGATGTGAATAATTTTCCAAGACAGCTCGAGATTGCTATACCCCGGTAGTTGTTGGCTTCGTCTTTTCTGCCTGATTTGAAAATGGGGACAATATAGCTGTTTGACCAGCTTTTGGGAAATATTCCTGCCGAAAGTGTGCGGTTAAATAATTTGACCAATGGCATTAATAATGTGTCCAGCCCTGCCTTAAGCATTTCGTTGGTGATTAAATCTTCCCCGCTTGCCTTTTTGTTTTTGAGAGCATGTAGGGCGTTGCTAATTTCTGTTCTTGTAATTGGAAAGTCTGGGGGTCCTTCATTTGTGTTAAGACCCTGCAAGGCATTTAGTTTGCTTGATATTTCTTTTTCAAAAGGAAGGTCAAAAGTTTGGCGTTGTAGTCTTGTTTTACTATGGAGTGTTTTAAAGTGTTCCAGCCATGAGTTAGTTGGTATTTCGTCTTGAGGTGCAGAATTGGTTTTCTTTAAATCTTTTAGTAAGTTCCAAAACGCTGTCGGGTTATTATCTTGTAGACTTTGTAGTCGCATCAGGCAATTATTTTCGAATTCCCTCTTTTGTTTTCGGATGAGCTTGTTATAGTTCTTTTTTGTCCTGAAGTAGCTGCCTCTTATATAAGGGTTTCTCGGGTTTTGTATTAGCAAGTTTCTTAGATTACGCAGTTCCTTTCGGGCTTCATAACAAGTGTTGTCAAACCATTTTTTGTTCGTTTTAGAGATTCTTCGCTTTTTGTTACATTTTACCTGAAGAGACATTTTGCCCGCCGTCTCTAATATTTCCGTTAGTTGGTTCACCTCATCATCTATATTTATATCGGGTGTTGTGCTTCCCTCGTCTGGTTATGTGAAATTCTTTAGCTTGTTGGAAATCATGGTGCTGTTTAGCGCATTAATGAATTTGTCTCTCGAGTCTGGACCCCAGACAAATTTATCTGGAAGAGGGCTCGTGTTAGTTTTGGTCATTTTGGTATTTTCGAGTGGACGTGGAGATGAATTGATATTCAGTGAAATTAGGCAATGATCGGAAAATTCTGTTACTGGGTGGACTTTGAATACGTTAAAATTGTGAAAAAGTGGGCTGCTAGCTATAGCATAGTCTACTGTACTACAGCCATTTGGCTGGTAGCACGTGTATTTGCCACTCAAGTCCCCCAGTATCCTTCCATTGAGTATACGCAAGTCGGACTGAGTACATAAATCTATCAAACTTTTGCCGAAAGCGTTTGCAGGATGTTTATCAGAAAAGTTTCTAGGAATGTCTATGTTAGTGAGCATTTAAGGTTCGAGCTCTGAATCTAAGGGGTCTTCCTCATTAAAGTCTCGTAGGGAACCTAACCGGCTGTTAAAGTCTCCCCCGATAATCACATAGCCTTTTGAGGAAAAAGATGCAATATCCTGCTCTAAGACATCAAAAATAGAGTTATCCGCCCTTTTGTGCACGGTCGAATAAACAGGACTTATATATACGCTACATAGAAAGACATCTTTGGTTATACCCAAAAGATCCTTTGAAATGCGAACCCAAATTAGGTCTTTGCATTCCGAACTGCCCTTTTCCCTTTTGATGTATTTGTCAATTTCGTTTCTAAAATAAAATACGATTCCCCCTGAGTTTCTTCTAGCCTTTTGTTGTTTCCGTCTGAATGATGAGAAGTGCAGAAAATTTGGAATGTCTACGTCTGAAGATTCGCTACACCATGTTTCAATAAGAGCGAAGATATCTAGATTCTCTAAACTATCTCTAAACATGCTACAGTCATGATTTTTAAGTGGTAAAAAGCTGTTTAAGTAAGGAAGAAGTGACGTAAATTTGGTGTCTCTAGCTGCTTGCGTTGGACCTGCAGAGGCGTTTTTTGCCGGTGCACAATTTGCTCCAAGGGCGCTTTTTTTTGCTTCGGAAGGTCGGCTGCAGTACTGTAGCATGTTTGGAACAGGAGATACAAAGCCCGGAAGGTTGGCTGCAGTACCAAAAAGCGCCGCTAGGGGGCTCCAAAAGTCAAATCAAGTGGCCCGCGTACTTTTTCAAAAGAGTAATGTCTCATGAGTATTTGTACCAAGTTTGGTGCTTGTATCACAAAGTGAAAGATTATTTCAGTTATCTGCCCCACTCGAAGCAAGCTTGCTACGAGTAGCTAACAATTTGTGTAGCGCGTAGTCATACCTGGATACTGTCTGGAATTGCACGTGACTCATGGCACCCCTAACATGATTAGACCCTTGTGAGTTCTTTATGATTGGCGACTTATAAAAGTGCAAAAGCAATGCTGATACAGCTACTAGTTTTATCCAGAGCGAGCTCTTGGGTTCTAAGTAATTTGATAGCTTAGTTGGTTTCTTTATCGTTAAAGCTTCTACGCTAAGACAAAATCAATAGCAAATCCGATGGGTTGCCAGGCACGCTAAAGTATTGACATGCAAATTTGCCGGCTTTCCTCAGATACTTCGAATACAGTGTGTACCTCCAGAGATAATTTGTCGTTCGTAAGCTACAAGTATACAATAGCAGGTATAAACAAGTGCTTGAAAATGTGATTTGTGCAGTCATAGGCATAGTAATTGTACAACATGAGCAAAATATCCTCTACGCTAATACAATCAAGACTGGCATTTCACCTTTACTATCTCATTCATTGCAGGTAAAATAAAGATCAACAAAATACAAAATAACTAAAGAGAGTCCATCACTTAGTAGCTCTCTGGCTACCTAGTTGTCAACATAAAACAAAAATAGGCAAAATAAAGTAACAGAAAGTAAATATATACTACACCTCCGTGTCTCCGTGTAGTCCACAAATTACAAATGTTCAGTTTCACCGGTAGCATTCTAACGTGGTTCAAGTCCTACTATTCCAATCGCCGTCAAAGAGTGGTAGTTGAAGGTAGTAAGTCTGAATGGCGCACAGTTACTTCAGGGGTCCCACAGGGCTCTATCCTAGGCCCACTGTTGTTCTTACTCTACATAAATGACTTACCTGACTCTGCCAAAAACTCTGTATCAGCACTTTTTCTGATGACAGTAAATGTTTTAAAGAGATACGCAACACTAATGACTGCTTAGAACTCCAAGAGGATATCTGTTCACTGTACGATTGGAGCACAGGGTGGAAGTTGAGTTTTAACTTGTCCAAATGTGAAGTGTTAAGACTCACTCGTTCAAAGCGTCCTATTAGCTTTGATTACCAAATGTCCGGTTCATTCCTGACTGTAGTGAGCAGTATGTCTGATCTTGGAGTAACAGCAAAATCAGACCTTAAGTGGGACACCCATGTTGCAAGATCAGTGGCCAAAGCTAAACTCAATGCTTGGTTTTGTAAAGCGAACTGTAGGATTCCACTCCAACACTGACATTCGGAAAACATTGTACCTTTCTCTTATCAGAAGTGTGCTTGAATATTGCTCTCCACTATGGAGCCCTACATCGCGAAATCTCAATTACCTTATCGAGGGTGTCCAGCGGAGAGCTACGAAATTCATCTTAGGGCCCTCCTCTGGGCAACTCGACTACAAGACACGTCTAGCCTATTTGGGCTGGCTGCCTCTGTCATACAGAAGGGAGATTTTCGATGTGGTAACATTTGTTAAGTCTCGTGCAAAAGTGTATGATACTGACATAGCGAGGTATATATATATAGTCAACTTCTCGTCTAGAGTTCCTCGGAGCTCTAGGGCTCACATGCTTGTCCCACCGAGAGTGAAAACCTCTTCCTATGCTTAATCCATCCTGCCACGAGTCATAACAATATGGAATAAACTGGACGTCGAGACCAGGGCGCTGGGAGCTAACGCGTCGAGTCCAACTGACGTGTCGATGGTCCATGCGCAACAGGTTCAACCAACATTCCGTGCTCCTGGGTGCTGTCGTGTGGCTGCACCTCCTGTCGCGCTACGAGGCCCCGTTAAGTCCAGTTATTATTGCTTTTACCATCTTGTAAATTTGTATATATAGTATCACTGACACTGTTTTTTTTTAATGCTCATTGTCTATTTATTTGTGGGCATGGTGGCCTTGAAAAGGTGCACTTAGGTGCACCTGTTCCACCAAGCGTGTTATCAATGCCAGAGGTCAACGACCGCCTGCCACAGATTAAATAGATTACATGTATAAAAGAACTATTATATAAAACACTGTAACTATAGAATTCCCTCCTTAATTATGCAATCAAGTCCTCATTTGCATAATTTAATTATGTACAACTCTCTATAAGCTACCTACACACCAAAAATGATGAAAATACGTTGTTCCTATCCGGACTTATTGGCTTTTAAAGATTTCACCAGAAAGTCCCATGCAGTTCCAGAACAAGCTGCTAGGGGGACCAAACCCACACCACTTATTCCTGACAGGAAAAGCTATAGCTATCTGTCATCAAAAACTTAAGACCATAGTATGTTCAGGACAAAAGATACAAAAACCGGAAGTTCTGCTCCAGTACCAAGGTCATCCACCAGGAGGTCCATATTTGACCTTGACCTTTGTCTTCCTAAGACTTATCAGCATACAAAATATCATCACAATCCATAAAGGTGTTATGGAGTTATGCTGACTACAAAGTTGCGGAAACACACACAGACACACAGACAGACAAACACACACACACACACACACAGGCAGACACGCCAAAAACAATACCTCCAGAATAGAGAGAGATAGAGGTAGGCAGTAAGAGGCAGAGGATAAAGCATTCCACAGAAACACAGCTTATACTAACAGTCCATGACATAGCTGACGCACTAAACAGTAAACGACAGGTAGATTTAGCAATACTTGATTTCACTAAAGCCTTTGATAAAGTCCCCCATGGCAGGCTCATCTCAAAACTGGAGTATTATGGAATCCAAGGCCCTACGCTGAATTGGTTAAAGGCTTTCCTGACCAACAGGGAGCAAACAGTAGTGGTTGAAGGGAAGGCGTCGGCTCCAGTTAAAGTAGCGTCTGGGGTCCCTCAAGGAACCGTCCTGGGGCCATTGCTCTTTCTCTTGTATATAAATGACCTACCAGATCAGCTTGACTCAAATGTGAGGTTATTTGCCGATGACTGTCTATTGTATGTAGAGCTTTCTACACAGACCGACTCACAACTTCTCCAAAAAGACCTGAACACCCTGGAAGAATGGCAAAGCAAATGGCTCATGCAGTTTAATCCCGAAAAATGCTACATTATGCACATAACAAACAAACGAACACCACATGCAACTAGCTACCAGTTTTGTGGTCAGGCTTTAGCAACCACAAAATCCATCCGTATCTGGGCGTCACGCTGACAAGCGGGCTGAAGTGGGGTGCACATGTTAATAATATCACAACTAAGGCGAAACAGACATTGGGAGTGATTAAACGTAATCTGTGGGCATGTCCAACTAGAGTAAAATCACTTGCATACACGTCACTTGTAAGACCGAACCTAGAATACGCTGCGACAGTATGGGATCCATATACAAAGAAAGACAAATACAAATTAGAAAGGGGTACAGAATCAAGCTGCAAGATTCTGTATGAACAACTATGTAAGAGGTGCTAGTGTCACGGAAATGAAAAGAAACCTACAGTGGACCTCACTGGAAGACAGAAGAAAGATGTCTAGACTATGCATGATGTACAAAATGACTAATAAACTGGTGGATGTCCCAACTACTAAGTACCTAATACCAGCCCAGAAGAGAACAAGAAATAGCCACGCATTCAAGTACCAGAGTTATCAACCAAGGATTGAGGTGTTCAAGAATTCATTCTTTCCTAGAACTATCGCAGAGTGGAACTCACTGTCACCAAGTACAGTAGGGGCATTGTCAATAGATAGCTTTAAACAATGTCTAGAGCTAGAAGTTCAAGGGTTAGGTGTAACAAGTCGATCGGTGTAATATAGCCAGCTGCCGCCGCGCCGCGTGCCTGCGAAGCTGGTGTGTTACGCCGAAAGGCGGTTATACCGGCCATACAGATACAGATGCTTCTTACAACAACAGGTATCCGACTTGCTGGCGGAGCTAACACCTCATTTGAAGGCAGAGTTGAGGTGTTCCATGACGGCCAATGGGGAACGGTCTGTGACGATGGATGGGGGCTGAGTGACGCCCGAGTTGTCTGTCGTCAGCTGGGATATCCCGGGGCAAAAGCAGTTCTTGGATCAGCAGCTTTCGGGCGGGGGTCTGGGCCGATCTGGCTGGACGATGTAACCTGCGATGGTTCCGAGGCAACCATTTCTGACTGTGGACACAACGGTTGGGGGATACATGACTGTGGACACGGAGAAGATGCCGGAGTTGTTTGTGAACGAGGTATGCCCGAAAACAATTCAAACTCTACTACTTGAGATTACGGAGAATGTTATGTTATGTTCCGCCAAAAAAGTAATTACTAAGCAACTGATATAACCAATCCAAACAAATGCAGATTGTGTGACAAATGGCCCCTTAAAAATGCCTAATATTCAGAAAAATTCAAAAGCTGCTTTGAATAGTTCTGATAACCCCTAAGCATACCCTTTAAATGTCAATGCCAGAGTTTTACATTTCGTCTAGTTAAACTAGAGAGGTGAAAAAATGAAAAAATAAAACCATATATTAATGTTCTTATAAAACTCTGGAGTGAGCAATCCGAATTTCGTGAATTTCTAGGCGAAAATGCTCCAAATATTGAGAGTCTTCATGGGGGGTTCCAGAACACCATAACAAAACGGTACTGGAGGGTTTAAATCATATGGCTGTTGGAAGTTACCGATATCTATCCGATACACACAATATGAGTGGATTTGACCGACCCCCATCTTCCAACATTCCACCAAATTTGCCTGGTTTTCTCATGCAGTGTCTATTAATAAGTATCAAGGCCCAATTGGAAACAAGACATCAAATCAAACAACTCATGAATCTTTTGTGAAAATATTGGATCATTTTTTGGCCAGAATGATATAATTCCAATAAAGCCAAATGAAATTTTATATAAATTTGTAAACTAGGACTTTTTAATATTATTCATGTTATGTTATGTTATGTTATGTTATGTTATGTTATGTTATGTTATGTTATGTTATGTTATGTTATTTTTGCCCCGCTGGGCTAAATACAGGTCACATGTTGACAGTCATTATTATGTACATGGAACCCTACCCTTTCACCAACCCATGTACAGTAGTGACTTCTAGGTATTGTCTTACCAAAAAAAACTACATATATTTATATATAGAGACAGACAGACAGAGACAGACAGGCAGAGGATAAAGCATGCTTCTTACAACAACAGGTATCCGACTTGTTGGCGGAGGTTTCACCTCATCTCAAGGCAGAGTTGAGGTGTTACATGACGGCCAATGGGGGACGGTCTGTAACAACAGTTGGGGGTTAAGTGACGCCCGCGTGGTCTGTCGTCAGCTGGGATATCCCGGTGCAACAGAGGCTGGTGTATGGGCAGCATTCGGTCGGGGGTCTGGGCCGATCTGGCTGGACAATGTAACCTGCGATGGTTCTGAGGCAACCATTTCTGACTGTGGACACAACGGTTGGGGGATACATGACTGTGGACACGGAGAAGATGCCGGAGTTGTTTGTGAACAAGGTATTCCCGAAAACAATTCAAACTCTACTACTTGAGATTACGGAAAAAGTTATGTTATGTTATGTTATGTTACGTTACGTTATATGATGTTATGTTATGTTATTATATATATAATATTATGTTATGTTATGTTATGTTATGATATAGTACCTCCATGAAAAATGGAGGTATTGTTTTTGGCGTGTCTGTCTGTCTGTGTGTGTGTCTGTGTGTGTGTTTGTGTTTCCGCACATTTGTAGTCAGCATAACTTCATTACGCCTTATCGATTATGCTTATATTTGGTATGTTGGTAAGTCTTAGGAAGACAAAGGTCAAGGTCAAATATGTTCCAGAGCAAGATGCTGGGGGACCAAACCCACACCACAGATACAAAAACCGGAAGTTCTGCTGCAGTGCCAAGGTCATCTACCAGGAGACCCATATTTGACCTTGACCTTTGTCTTCCTGAGGCTTACCAGCATGGCAAAAATCACTACAATCCATATAAGTTATGCTGACTACAAATGTGCGGAAACACACATGGAGGTAAGTATTGCTCTGGTAAACACCAGTAATATTGTATTTTGAGACAATAGTACTAGCAATTTGAATATTTTTTAAAAACAAACATGCAAACAAGAGTTCCGAGATCTCATACCTCCATGAAATATGGGCTTACTGTGTCATACATTTCAACATGTCCTCATCAATTTTGCAAATGACCTCTACATTAACATAATATATGCATAGTGGTGTTAACCTTTAAGTAACTTACACATGTCACACACAAGGTATAAAAGTCCCATCATTCACCAATAAGGAGTCACAGAATTTTCACATTAATTATGCAAATTAGGTCATCATTTCCATAATTGGTATCTGTTGATGTTCCGCCTGCCACAGATTAAATAGATGTATCAAAGTACTATTACATAAAACACTGTAATATAGCACAAACACACACACAGACAGACGCGCCAAAAACAATACCTCCATTTTTCATGGAGTTAAAAAGGGGGACAAGACTAACCCCAACAACTACTTGAGTATCTAAGTTCTGCTGCAGTACCAAGGTCATCCACCAGGAGGCCCATATTTGACCTGGAACTTTGTCTTCCTAAGACTTACCAACATACCAAATATCATCATAATCCATAAAAGCGTTATGAAGTTATGCAAATATAGAAGTTTATTGCAAATTCATGCCCGGGGGGCTAATTGCAGATTACAAACATAAAAGAACAATGAAACGTAGTATAAAATAACTAAAATCTACATGATAAAAGGTAGTTGTCTAGAGCTATAGCTATGTCTAAAACTATGTCTAAGGGGTTTGACTTCTCTTTTTTAGACTATGGAAGACGTAATGTCCCACCTTATCTAAAATTAGTGGGTTTTGGGAAGTTAAAAGAAGAATAGTTTTTTCTTGGTCTGTAAGTTTAGTAAAATTGGGATAAATTGTAGAAGTTTGAATAGTTAACTCATTTCGAGCGTTGCTATGAAAGGAACAATTTGAGATAAAGTGCATTTCGTCTTCCACAGCCTTTGCATTACAATATTTACAAATTCGTTCACATACAGGTAGCCTTCTATACCGGCCTACCTCTATCTCCAAAGGATGGGCGCTAACTCTAATTTTGCTAATGGCTGAGCGTAGTTCGAAGTCTGCAAGATTAAGTTATCGTTCTATGTTGTACATAGTTTTACATTTTGCATAAAATGCTGAAATGCATTTTGCAGTTATGCTGACTACAAATGTGCGGAAACACAAACACACAGACAGACAGACACACAGACAGACACGCCAAAAACAATACCTCAATTTTTCATGGAGGTAATTAAACTAGTTTCGACCTTATTTCCATAGTCAATGAGACAAAAAAACATTTACAAAATCTCATATATTTCATGGAGGTGTGAAATCTCCGAATTCTTCATTATGTTGTTATGTTATGTTATATTATGTTACGTTATATTATGTTATGTTATGTTATGTTATGTCATGTCATGTCATGTCATGTCATGTCATGTCATGTCATGTTATGTTATGTTATGTTATGTTATTTTATGTTATGTTATTTTATGTTATATTATTTTATATTATGTTATTTTATGTTACGCCAAAGAAGCACTTACTGTAAGTAACTGGATATGATGTTGGAAACGGTAAGACGTTTTAGGTAGCATCCACTAGCTTTCGTCAGTGACACTAGAGAACTTTTGCAGAAATGCAGGTTTATAAGCAGGAACTATTGATGGATATTTAAGTAAGTGAAGACATTTTTGGTCCAAAAGGAAACAAAAGTTAGACAAGTCAAGACAAGGATGATGCCAGTTATCTTTGAGGTTAATCTGTGTTGGTAGAAGTCATTATGAATCAAGTTTGACAAAAGAAATTATACTCACCCAAAATAGGTCGATGAAGGTTAGACATCAGTAATACGATACGCCAAAAAGCAGTTACTCAAGCAACTGGATATGATTTTGAAAACGTCAGACCTTTCAGCTATTATCCACTAGCTTTCGTCAGTGACTGAGAGACCAGAGGGAAAATGCAGGTTTATAAGCACAACCTATTGATTGATATGTAAATAGAGTGGAGACAATTTTTTTGGAAGTCAAAAATGGAACAAAGTCAGACAAGTCAGGCACATCGTGATCGGGCACGATTGGAAAGGAACGTGTGGTACGTGGACCAGATGTGAGGAATACGAGTTACCCGAATCGCGGTTCAGGCGGTTTAATGTGAACACGGCCTCAGTCGTAGGCTTATTGACAGCCCAGCTTGCAGCTGCGGGTGTCGATGCGAAAATATCTCCCACTTTTTACGTTTGCTCGGCCTAACGTAATAAGGTCGGAGGGATGAGTGGCATGTTTAATGGTAGACCGGACCAAACAAAACAAGAGTTTCAAGATCTCATACCTCCATGAAGTATGGGCTTGCTTTGTCATACTTCATTTCAACGTGTCCTCATCAATTATGCAAATGACCTCTACATTAACATAATATATGTATAGTGGTGTTAACCTTTAAGTAACTTACACCTGTCACGAGGTATACATTTCCCATCATTCACCAATAAGGAGTCACAGAATTTTCAAATTAATTATGCAAATTAACCAAACATTTGCATAATTGGTATCTGTTGATGTTCCGCCTGCCACAGATTAAATAGATTACATGTATAAAAGAACTAAAATATAAAACACTGTAACAATAGAATTTCCTCCTTAATTATGCAAATTAAGTCCTCATTTGCATAATTTAATTATGTACAACTCTCTCTCAGCTACCTACACACCAATGATGAAAATACGTTGTTCCTATCCGGACTTATTGGCTTTTAACGATTTCGCCAGAAAGTCCCATGCAGTTCCAGAACAAGCTGCTGGGGGGACCAAACCCACACCAATTATTCGTGACAGGAAAAGCTATCTGTCACCAAAAAGTGAAGACCATAGCATGTTCAGGACAAAAGATACAAAAACCGGAAGTTCTGCTCCAGTACCAAGGTCATCACCAGGAGGCCCATATTTGACCTTGACCCTTGTCTTCCTAAGACTTATCAGCATACAAAATATCATCACAATCTATAAAGGCGTTATGAAGTTATGCTGACTACAAAGTTGCGGAAACACACACAGACACACAGACAGACACACACACACACACAGGCAGACACGCCAAAAACAATACTCCGGAATAGAGAGAGAGGTAGGCAGTCAGAGGCAGAGGATAAAGCATGCTTCTTACAACAACAGGTATCCGACTTGGCGGAGCTAACACCTCATTTGAAGGCAGAGTTGAGGTGTTCCATGACGGCCAATGGGGAACGGTCTGTGACGATGAATGGGAGCTAAGTGACGCCCGCGTGGTCTGTCGTCAGCTGGGATATCCCGGGGCAAAAGCAGCTCTTGGATCAGCAGCTTTCGGGCAGGGGATTGGGCCGATCTGGCTGGACGATGTAACCTGCGATGGTTCCGAGGCAACCATTTCTGACTGTGGACACAACGGTTGGGGGATACATGACTGTGGACACGGAAAAGATGCCGGAGTTGTTTGTGAACAAGGTATGCCCGAAAACAATTCAAACTCTACTACTTGAGATTACGGAGAATGTTATGTTATGTTTCGCCAAATAGTACTTACTAAGCAACTGATATAACCAATCCAAACAAATGCAGATTGTGTGACAAATGGCCCCTTAAAAATGCCTAATATTCAGAAAAATTCAAAGGCTGCTTTGAATAGTTCTGATAACCCCTAAGCATACCCTTTAAAGTTCAATGCCAGAGTTTTACATTTCGTCTAGTTAAACTAGAGAGGTGAAAAAATGAAAAAATAAAACCATATATTAATATCCTTTATAAAACTCTAGAGTGAGCAATCCGAATTTCGTGACTTTCTAGGCGAAAATGCTCCAATCATCGAGAGTCTTCATGGGGGGTTCCAGAACATCATAACAAAACGGTACTGGAGGGTTTAAATCAAAAGGCTGTTGGAAGTTACCGATATCTATCCGATACACACAATATGAGTGGATTTGACCGACCCCCATCTTCCAACATTCCACCAAATTTGCCTGGTTTTCTCATGCAGTGTCTATTAATAAGTATCAATGCCCAATTGGAAACAAGACATCAAATCAAACAACTCATGAATCTTTTGTGAAAATATTGGATCATTTTTTGGCCGGAATGATATAATTCCAATAAAGCCAAATGAAATTTTATACAAATTTGTAAACTAGGACTTTTTTATATTATGTTATGTTATGTTATGTTATGTTATGTTATGTTATGTTATGTTATGTTATGTTATGTTATGTTATGTTATGTTATTTTTGCCCCGCTGGGCTAAATACAGGTCACATGTTGACAGTCATTATTATGTACATGGAACCCTACCCTTTCACCAACCCATGTACAGTAGTGACTTCTAGGTATTGTCTTACAAAAAAAACTACATATATTTATATATAGAGAAAGAGAGACAGACAGAGATAGACAGAGACAGTCAGAGGCAGAGGATAAAGCATACTTCTTACAACAACAGGTATCCGACTTGTTGGCGGAGGTTCCACCTCATCTCAAGGCAGAGTTGAGGTGTTCCATGACGGCCAATGGGGGGCGGTCTGTAACAACAGATGGGGGTTAAGTGACGCCCGCGTGGTCTGTCGTCAGCTGGGATATCCCGGGGCAAAAGCAGCTCTTGGATCAGCAGCTTTCGGGCGAGGGTCTGGGTCGATCTGGCTGGACAATGTAACCTGCGATGGTTCCGAGGCAAACATTTCTGACTGTGGACACAACGGTTGGGGGATACATGACTGTGGACACGGAGAAGATGCCGGAGTTGTTTGTGAACGAGGTATGCCCGAAAACAATTCAAACTCTACTACTTGAGATTACGGAGAATGTTATGTTATGTTTCGCCAAAAAAGTACTTACTAAGCAACTGATATAACCAATCCAAACAAATGCAGATTGTGTGACAAATGGCCCCTTAAAAATGCCTAATATTCAGAAAAATTCAAAGGCTGCTTTGAATAGTTCTGATAACCCCTAAGCATACCGTTTAAATGTCAATGCCAGAGTTTTACATTTCGTCTAGTTAAACTAGAGAGGTGAAAAAATGAAAAAAATAAAACCATATATTAATATCCTTTATAAAACTCTGAAATTAGCAATCAGAATTTCTTGAATTTCTAGGCGAAAATGCTGAAAATATTGAGAGTCTTCATGGGGGGTTCCAGAACACCATAACAAAACGGTACTGGAGGGTTTAAATCAAAAGGCTGTTGGAAGTTACCGATACCTATCCGATACACACAATATGAGTGGATTTGACCGACCCCCATCTTCCAACATTCCACCAAATTTGCCTGGTTTTCTCATGCAGTGTCTATTAATAAGTATCAATGCCCAATTGGAAACAAGACATCAAATCAAACAACTCATGAATCTTTTGTGAAAATATTGGATCATTTTTTGGCCGGAATGATATAATTCCAATAAAGCTAAATGAAATTTTATACAAATTTTTAAACTAGGACTTTTTAATATTATTTATGTTATGTCATGTCATGTCATGTCATGTTATGTTATTTTTGCCCCGCTGGGCTAAATACAGGTCACATGTTGACAGTCATTATTATGTACATGGAACCTTACCCTTTCACCAACCCATGTACAATAGTGACTTCTAGGTATTGTCTTACAAAAAAAAACTACATATATTTATATATAGAGACAGACAGACAGAGACAGACAGGCAGAGGATAAAGCATGCTTCTTACAACAACAGGTATCCGACTTGTTGGCGGAGGTTTCACCTCATCTCAAGGCAGAGTTGAGGTGTTACATGACGGCCAATGGGGGACGGTCTGTAACAACAGTTGGGGGTTGAGTGACGCCCGCGTGGTCTGTCGTCAGCTGGGATATCCCGGTGCAACAGAGGCTGGTGTATGGGCAGCATTCGGTCGGGGGTCTGGGCCGATCTGGCTGGACAATGTAACCTGCGATGGTTCTGAGGCAACCATTTCTGACTGTGGACACAACGGTTGGGGGATACATGACTGTGGACACGGAGAAGATGCCGGAGTTGTTTGTGAACAAGGTATGCCCGAAAACAATTCAAACTCTACTACTTGAGATTACGGAGAATGTTATGTTATGTTATGTTATGTTATGTCATGTCATGTCATGTCATGTCATGTCATGTTACGGCAAAAAAGCACTTACTAAGCAACTGGATATGATTTTGGAAACGTTAAGACAATACAGGTATCACCCACTATCTTTCGTCAGTGACAATAGAGAACTTGTGCAGAAATGCAGGTGTATAAGCAACGAGGACATACAGGTACTGACCTGCTAGAAGATGTCGTGCTTTCCAGCACCCCTGGGACGACTATGCCGGATCATCAGTCGGATTCCGGCTTTCACGGGCGTTTCATCCCTTATATATCCGATACGCTTCTGGCCGGCGGGACGACAGGGTGGACGTCTCCGCCCTGCCTCCAACTCCTAGACTTCCTTCTGATCCAGATGGAGAAACTGCTCTTCTCCACTTCTTCTGCCACTGATCGAACAAACTAGGACTGGGCTTTCCCCCTAATCTGAAAGTCTCTACAAGACGCATCAGAGATGTCCCTGCAAAGCCACGGACCCCTCCTCCACTGGGTAGAGGTGGATCCTCCAACCGTTCTGTCTGCACTGCTGAGGGCTAACTCCTCATACTTCAGCTTCTTCCGCTCATGTGCGCACTGAATGTTCTCCTCCCAAGGTATGGTCAGTTCCACTATGACCACCGACTTCTGATCTGCTGACCACATGACAAGGTCGGGTCTTAAGGATGACTCACATATGTCTTCCGGGAAGCGAAATTGTCTGTCTAAGTCTACCAGAAGCTCCCACTTCCCTCTGCTGAGTGGACCACCGCCAATGTTGTTACTTCTGGGGGCTGCGCATGCTTCCTTCGGCCTCTGCCCTCCTCTTACAAACTGAATGGGCTGCCACGATGTCTCCGTACCTGCAGATTCCCTCCTTGCTCTCTCCAGGATTATGGCGATCTGTCTAAGGGCTCTGTTATGTCTCCAGGTGTATCTCCCCTGTTGGAGTGCGGTTTTACAGTTGGACAGAATGTGCTTGAGGTCTACTCGTTCCAGGCCACACAGCAGACAGGTTTCTTCGTTCTTGAACCATCTTGTGACATTCTGGGGGGTGGGGAGGACATCGTATACGGCTCGTAAGAGGAAGCTCAGTCTAAAGTTCTGCATACCCCATAAGTCACTCCATGTTAACTTCCTGCCTACGGCACCTTCCCAGTTCAACCACGCTCCCTGTTGGCGCTGGCCCACTGTGGCCACTCTCCTCTTTTCCTCCTCCATCCTTCTCACTTCTTGGGCCACGAGTTGTCTCCTCTCTCTGGGGTTGGCACTTGACCACCTGTGTGATCTCTCTCCCCATCCTAGTCTTGTTCTCCCCACTTGTACTGCACCCACTAGGTCTTTGTGGTGTAGTCTGTTTACAGCTTGACTTATGAACTCCTTTACTTTCCACTTCTTCCCAGTACAGATACTCTTGTTTACTGCTCTGACTGATGAGTCTCGTGACCCCTCCAGGTCAAGGACAAGTCGGACCTTTTCCACCTTGTGTTCCTCTGCAATGGAAGATAGTGGCAGACTTAACACGTTGTCGCCAAACAGTGCGACAGTAGACAGACATCTTGGGACGCCCAGACATCGGCGGAAGTAGGTATTGGCTTTCCTATCAATTTGGTCCACAACAGACAAGGAGATGTTGTAGGTTTTTAGAGGCCACTTCAGTCTTGGAAATAGCATAAACTGTACGCACCAAACCTTGAGCCTTCCTGGAAGTTCACACTCATCTATACTTTTAAGGCCTCTAACGGCTTGCTCCATCGTTTCTGGCCCTCTCTCGCTGTCTTTCAGACTGCTAGTGTACAGTCGTCCCAAACTCTTCACTGGTTGTTCCTGTAGGGTTGGGATGGTTTGGTCATTGACAGTGAAAGTTCTGTTGCTGATTTCCCCCTTTCTTAATGACAAGCTTCTTGATTTGGCTGGTTTGAATTTCATCCCAGCCCAATTTGAAAGTTCTTCAAGTCTTTGGAGCAATCGTTTGGTGCATGATGCTCTGCGAAGGATGCTCGTGACATCATCCATGAAGGCTCTTAAGGGTGGCATCTTCTCACCCGAGGGTGCTCTCACCCCTCCTACAACTTGTTTGGCACCTAGAAGCAGGATTTCAAAACCCATAGTAAATAGGAATGGAGATATTGAGCAACCCATGGCTATCCCCTTTTCCAGTTGCTGCCACTTGGTGACGTAGTCTCTTGTACTAATGCATAGTCTGAAGTCTGAAGTAATTCTCTATCATCTGTTTTACCTCCACCGGAACCCAGAAGAAGTCTAGTGCATACCGGATGACCTTGTGGGGAATTAATATATAAAGAACTATTAATGGATACTCAAAGAAGTGAGGACAATTTTAGGAAGTCGAAAAGGAAACAAAAGTTAGACAAGGACGATGCCAATTATCTTTGAGGTTAATCTGTGTTGGTAGAATTCATTATGAAACAAGTTTGACACAAGAAATTGTACTTGTTCGAATTTTTGTGAAGGAATGAGCAATCCATGGCTTTCGTGACCTCACCTAGAGCTTTTGACCAATCACTCTGGTCTTCTTCAAGTAAGACTTTGTCACGTGTCTTTTCTAAGGTGTGACTTGTTTATAGGATTCCTTTGACCCAGTGTTGACGTCACACTTAAGAGAAGCCACGTGGCACATCCGAGTGACCCGTCAAAAGTTCTAGGTGAGGATATTTCTTTGCGTTGGAACACAATGTCTTAACTTTAAACACATGTATATTCACATTTATGTATTTCCAGTAGCTGATTCAGCTGAAACAGCGGGACTGTCCACCTTACACGTGGTGATGATTGCCGTGGTGCCATCTGTGGTACTACTTGTACTGGGTGTAGTAGCGGGAATTCTGGGATACCGGCGCGGCAGAAAGAGACAAAATGACGACAATGAATTAGAAGAGTTTGAATTTCATCCAGACATTCTAGGTATATGATATCATGACATACTTGCAGTTTTTCCATTCTGTTATTCGGTACCAATGCGCAAAAACTAATGAGTAAATAGTCATGCTACATGTATGTATTACAAACAGGAAGCACGTATAAATCAATTAATTAGAAGTTGCGTTGCTAAAAGCTTAACTGACTTCACCTATTCTGTATTTCATTGATCCAAATGCATATGTTTTGTATTGTATTTAATAAGGCAGAAGAGTGGGTATATTGATGATGTATACTGTTGTATTACACTGTGAGCCCTATTGAAGGCACTCATAATGTTGTTTCACTGCTTTTGTTCCCAGATGCAAAATTAACAGATTTGCGCAAATCACCTCCCCCACCTGTGCCGACTCGGCCACAGTTCCTGCAGTACGAGGTAAACCCGGATGATCTGCGACTGAATGAAGAGATCGGCAGAGGGGCCTTCGGCATCGCCTTCCTCGCGACTTTAAAGAGAGCTGTTGATGGTCTTCTCACGGAACAAACAGTGGTGGCCAAAACTGTCCGTGGTAGGTCAACGTCAGCTGGTTATTACGATACTCTATCTTCACTAACGCCAGGAGCTTCATTGATTTATTTTGACACACGTCTTCAAGTCAAGGCGCGAGGATGCTGCAGTCAAACTCTTCACACAGATGCTACGAAAAGACCATCCCTTACATGACCTTGTCCCTCTCTCCAGATCTACAGCTACCGGTCGTTCACTCAGGAACAAAAGCACTATCTCTATCCCCCCCCCCCGCCAGAACAAAAAGACTACAGAACTCTTTCCTCCACCAGTCAATCAGACTCTATAACCGGACTGTACAGATAGAGTCTGGCACAAGATAATGGACCTTGTAAATATCTGGGTTGTACACCTACTGTACTGTTTTTATAGTTGCTGTAAATATATAATTTTTTGACATTTTATCTTGTAAATATCAACGCCATTCAAGCAACATTGTATGTCATGTTTGTTATGTTTGATATCTTAATAAAGAATTGAATTGGATTGAATTGAATTGAATTGAATTGAATTGAATTGAATAATGGCTGAAAGCATGGCACACAGCACGTAAGCAGAGAAAGTTAGCCTTTGGTACCACCTGAGCAATTGCACCGGTGAAGCTTCAACAATGAAAGGTTTTTGTTAAATTTGCAGAGAACGCGAGAGAAGAGGAGATACAGAATTTTATACAAGAGGTCGACACCACCATCGCCCTGAGGGGCCACATCAACCTGCTCGGTCTGGTGGGCTGTTGCACACTGTCCCACCCTCTCTACCTGGTGACGGAGTACATGCCGTATGGAGACCTTAAGAACTTCCTACTCAAGTGCAGGAAGGTAAATGTATATAACATCCGTTTATAGCCATGTAACTTTAATGTAGATATCTTTGAATTTGTTCTTATTCTGCCAGTAATGGTTAAACTGTCAGAAAGCTGCTGTCTCTATTTTGTTTAATGAATAATCATAATGATGTGCAACTGAAGTTTAAAAAACTACTTGTAAAGTTATCTTCCAAATTTGTTGTTATCAGCCACCCATTTCAACGTGTGTGTATGACTCGATAGATCTAGAAACTGTTGGCCCATTTTACTTAATGTATTTCATTGTTTTGCTTGCTATGCAGCCTTTAAGCAATTATTTGCGATTTCGCAGTTACCAAAAGCTAGTATCTGAAAATTAAATGTCCCTTTGGGGTTTGTGGTATGTCAGCCATTATAATACCTTATGATGAAGCCAACTTATGTTCATGCTGACTCTTTTCATGTAAATCTACAGTTGAATGAGAGGCTCCAAGACAGCATGTATGACTTCGATGACATGAAGATCTACCAGGTAGCACGGCAGATAGCAAACGGAATGGTAAGCAGACAGTCCACACACAATATTATCACTGAGAACACACGCATATATACTGTATTTATAAGACACAGCTTTGTAAACAGAATGAGCTTATATCATACGCCTAAATGCTCTGAATTCTATCATGAACTGCAAAAGCACATTCTCATCCCATACTACACACTTTATAGGATTAGCCTCATTGTTTGTTAG